TAGAATTTCGTTCGAAGTCAAAGAGAGGGGAATTTGCGAGTCAATTACGGCTAAGCAAGCATCGTTTGCTGACTTTGAGTAAGTAAAGAAGAAAAAGGTAAATGAATGTGAACGGCGAGGTCGAAACCTACCTACCGCAAAGCTTTGAAAGACCAACACGGATGGTCAGCCTCGTGAGCTTGCTCCTTCCTTTGAGTGTTCGATTGGCGCATTTGGTGGTCTGTGCGCCAGGCACAATGCCAGTCAGCGTTTGTTCCACATGCCCCACTCTGGCCTCGCTGTTTTTTCCGGCAGGAAGACCCTTGCCTACTGCCAGTGTTGAAACTTTGTTTTTTGAGCCTATGATGAACAGGCCAAATTTTTGTCTTCAAATTTATTTCATCACCTTGTGCATCGGCCTCATATACCCTCTTCAACTCCTCCAAACTTAGACTATACTGCATTTGCATACAATGGCTGCCATTGGAACTCTTGTCTTTTGTACTGACTGCGGTAACCTTTTGCCTGCTACCAAGGGTACGCAACGAAATGTTTTGCGCTGCGAATGCTGCGGCGCTGAAAATCGAGGTTTGTTTGGATTTAGAACTGCGGATAGCGACAGTTTTTAATCCGCTGCATAGATACCGGGTCTAAAGTCACCATCACGCAAACGAAGCCCTCCGATTTCCCTTCCTTTTTAAGACAGAAGCTGCAGTCAAGCGTCCAATCCGTCGAGAAGCACAGTTTGCAAACCGAGAGCACCGCACACGAGACATGTCCCAAGTGTGGTCGCGAGGAGGTCAAGTATACTACTGTTCAACTGCGCAGTGCAGACGAAGGCTCAACGGTCATCTACAGCTGCGAATGCGGTAACTCGTATGAAACCCGGAATCCTTCTATTGATATAATCTTAACATTTGACTTTTAGATGGAATGAAAACAACTAGACGCAATACTCGGCAAAGCGAGCGCATTCATAAATCATGCAGCAGCTCGTGCAGACTCGGGAATCAAAGCATACTCAGCCTCCCCGCCCGTCTCGTACTCGGCCATATCGAGTGCAACAATACAACTCTCTCGGACAACCTTTTCCTTGTCATGTAGGAACTTCCTCAGGGTATCTTGAACACCATCTTTCTCACCCAAGCTTCCAAGTGCTTCGGCCGCCTCGTGACGAACCATGCTGGCCTCGTTGATGTTACTCAAAGCCTCAGTAAGAGCAGGAATGGACGCAGGGTGCGACAGCTGGCCGAAAACAAAAGCAATTTCATGACGGAACAGGGCGGACGAATCGGCTAGTCCCTTTGCGAGGGCGAGGACCGCAGGAGTGGCAGTTGGCAGATCAGGAGGAGAGGCGAGATCTCGAAGCGCGAACATGGCGCGGTAACGGAGGAAGAGAGGTACGCTTGTATCCATGAGCTTTCGGCCAAGGTCTTCAACCTCGGCTTCCTTGTCAGATTCGGGCATTGGGGGCGCGGGATCGATAGAGGCAAAGTCACTATACCACAATGTTAATTAGGGGCAACCCAACATATGATTTACCAACCTAGGGCGTAGCTTCTCTTTTTGTCGCTCTGCCGAGTTCTCCCACTCGATACGCTCAATGGCGATCTCGCATGTCTCAACAATACTAATATCCTCCTCCTTGCGATCACGGTATTCGCGGAGAATATCTAGGTTGTCTGCCCAGCCTAGGGCGCCGAGGGCTTCAGCGGCTTCGTGACGGCACATGGGGTCCTCCTTGAGATCGGATAGAACCTGTCGCAGAGGCTTAACGGCGGCAGTGTTGCCAGTTTGACCCAGACAGTATGCGAGTTCGTGCTTCAACAAAGCCGAGGGCGAAGCGAAGCCAGCGGCGATGGCCTCAATGGCAGCGACCCTCGTAGCATCGTCATCGGCAGTAGTCGCAACGTGCTTCAAGGAGAAAAGGGCACGGAAACGGATGGGCAGAGGTGAATCCTCGGAGCAGAGTGACTTCTTCAAGCTCAGAACCGTAGAGTCGGCAGAATTTGATATTTCTGGTGTATCAGCAGAAGGAGACATTTTGGATATCAGATTCGGGAAATTCGTGATGATCGCAGTGAGCCTGAAAGTCAGTTCAGAATAAATTCTTCGCGGGGTCCAGCTTATCTTATCTCAAATGAAAGCATAATACCCCGCCACCCTCAGTTTTTTTGCATGTAAAGCGGCACCCAACCGGTCCGATATCCGGCGGGCTTTGCAGCTTCTGTTGTTCCTCTACCTAGTACTCACAACTGCAAATTTAGAAATGAATAATGATGAAATTTATAATAGATAATGGCAAAATCTCAATCAACTTTTCCCTCTAATTTTCATAGTACGCCATGGTCATCGTTTGAGGTCAATGATCCATGTCCTACTTTGTGTTTTAGACAATTTGAGTCAGAAGAAAGTAAAATGTTGCTGACGGGACTTAATATCACCAGTATATTTCTCAATACCTAACAAATAAACACAAAATCAAGTATGAAACCATAAAGTCCTTACAATTCCTTTATAGAACAAAAACGGGATCTGTCACTCCATTCGCGGCGGCACCTTAACCGTCTGTCCATCATCCGGCGCTTGCTAAGCAACGAATCAACGCTTACCCTAGGCAACCAATCTATCTTTATCAACAACCTGCCTACTAACCCAACTTTGCTTCAACTTCGTCTCTGGACACATTTTATACTTGGACTGCAATTTGACCTTGAAACGTGCGTTGCCATTTGCCCCTTTCTCGTCTTATCTATCTTTCCAGCAGTCCAACAACACACTATTTGCGAATTACTCAAAGCATTATTAAGCTTCGGCTACTAACTCGCCACATCCTACTCATCATCACCCAAACATCACCACAACATCATAACATTTTCATAACAGGATAGCTATGGCACCATCTCTTGAAACACCAGAATCTGTTGACGACGTTTTCGCCAACCCAATCAAGCAGAAGCCACAACTTGTCGCGCCAGAACCTCAGAACTGCGTCGGTCCCGATTCACAGCAGGCTGGTAAAGCGGACTCATGCGCCGGTTGTCCCAACCAGGCCATTTGTGCTTCGGCGCCCAAGGGCCCGGACCCTGATATTCCAGTTATCTCCGCACGATTGGAGAATGTCAAGCACAAGATCCTGGTGCTCAGTGGAAAGGGTGGCGTGGGCAAGAGCACATTTACCTCACTATTAGCCCATGCCTTTGCGACAAATCCGGACAGCAATGTAGGTATCATGGATACCGATATCTGCGGACCCAGTATCCCCAAGATGATGGGTGTTGAGGGAGAGACGGTCCATGTCAGCGGTACAGGGTGGTCGCCAATCTGGGTTATGGATAACCTTGCCGTTATGAGCATTCAGTTTCTACTACCGAACCGAGACGACGCCGTTATTTGGCGGGGTCCCAAGAAGAACGGCCTTATCAAACAGTTCCTCAAGGATGTTGAATGGGGCGATCTTGACTTCTTGCTTGTCGACACACCTCCGGGTACAAGTGATGAACATCTTAGCGTGAACTCCTTCTTGAAGGGGAGCGGAATCGATGGCGCTGTCATGGTCACAACACCACAGGAAGTCTCACTTCTAGACGTACGCAAGGAAATCGATTTCTGCCGCAAGGCTGGTATCAAGGTGCTAGGTCTTGCAGAGAACATGAGTGGCTTCGTCTGTCCCAAGTGCTCAAACGAGAGCCAGATCTTCAAGGCTAGTACAGGAGGTGGGCGTGCCTTGGCCGAGGAGATGGACATTCCTTTTTTGGGATCAGTACCCCTGGACCCCAGAATCAGGATGGCGTGTGATTACGGAGAGAGTTATTTTGACTCATTCCCGGATAGCCCGGCATGCCTCGCATTTCAAGGAGTAGTAAAGAACGTTGCGATGCAATTGGGATTAGATTCCCAAGATGTGCTGCCAGACGAGTAGACAGACTTATCAACCTTACGCTTTTATGTATGTCATGATATATGGTTTTTGCTGCTCCACCGTATTTCTCTCCTCATGTGTTTCGTTTGCCTATTCCGACTTGAGCTTGTCAGGAATCTCCTCCAGGTCTTCTGCCGTCTCAATATCGATAATTCGTCCAACCTCGGCGGTGTTGCGCATCAACTCCTTAGCACCGGCATAAAGCATTCTAATCTCGGCGTTGCATGTAACAGGGAGGTAGAAGAGGAGTACATATGGTACAGATAGCCGTCCGTCACCCTACATGGTTGTTAGTATTACTCGTCTTTGGCAGAAGATCGATCAGAACGTACCATAGTGAGGGGGTAGCTCAGGAGGATAAAGCGGGGAGCATGGTCTGGCAAATCATCGCCAACCTCCTCAAGAGATGTATAAACAGTCTTGTCTTCGTCTTGTCGAATCTCGTAGGTGTTCTTATCGATCAGGTCTAGAGAAGGGGTTGATCAGTTGGAGCCCAATGTAGTGTGAACAGTGAAGTCGCATCAAGAAGAGACGTACATACAGATAACAGCTTGAGGTCCCTTGGCTCGGGAAGTTGTAAGGCGAAACTTGCGGAGATGGTCCTTTGACTCCCCAGAGAAGGTATACAGTCGCGATTCGGATGCCTGAGCATGTTTGTTAGCTGGTAAATGCAGGATAATGAAAGGGCTGTGTAGGTACCATTTTTGAGTATTTTTTTTATTAGCTCTTTCAACAAGAGAGATTCTTTGCGGCTGTATCAAAGCTGTGATAGAGGACAATGTAGCTATAGCATCAGGCAATCCACGGGAGTTGGTGAAGTGAAAGCCCCGCCAAAGGGTATCCGTTGGTAGCCCCCACATTGTCCCGCCATCACTTAGCGAGTAAACGTCATCTATAGTTCCGTTGAGCTCCATCCAGTCTAGACAACTCAAACAACATTGGGTGAACAGAGTGACTTGCAGACTTAACCGTGCTATCTCAACCTCTCATATCATTACACTTGCCCTTGGCATCCATGTTCTCACGCATCTCTCAGATCACTCGCCATCTCTCAGTTCCCATCTCGAACAACACCAGACGATTTGCTCTTGGACGAATCATGGCTCCCGTATCGGCGGATGAGCGCAACTCGCGCACTATTTCCACAGCAGCCTGCTTGATCATTGGAGATGAGGTCCTAGGCGGAAAGGTATAATGTCCTGGGAGTTTCTATCTAATAGTTTGAGTATACTGACATAATCGACTCAGACGGTTGATGTAAGTATTCTGGTATAGGGTACAGGACCAGTATTGACATGATAGACCAACTCTGCCTACCTTGCCAAATGGTGCTTTAACCTCGGAATTGTACGTATGGGTGCTGAGTATTGTTTGATGTTATTTAACAGTTGTAGAGTCTTAAACGAATCGAGGTCATTGCGGATGATGAAAGTGAGATTATTGAGGCAGTTCGAAGAATGAGTGACGGCTATGATTTCGTTGTGACAAGGCAAGTGATGAGAAACAACTCCAGTATATCAGATGGCTAACATAAAAAAGTGGTGGGATTGGACCTACGTAAGAACTCACCTACGTGGGCCTTGTATTTACTAACATGCTAGACACGACGACATCACCTATCAATCTATTGCCACAGCCTTCAACCTACCTCTCAAGCTTCACCAGGAGACCTTTGAGAAGATGAAGCTTCTTTCAAAGCCTCACCCCAACCAACCCAAGTTCGATTGGGAAGTTGATTCACCCGCCAGAAGAGCCAAGCTTCGCATGGCAGAACTGCCAACGGACGAATCCCGGGATCTCAAGAAGCAGGCCCTCTTTCCTCAGGAAGACCTCTGGGTTCCCGTGTCAGTTGTAAATGGAAACATCCATATTCTTCCAGGCGTCCCCAGACTTTGTAGGTCGTGCCCGTGATTGATATCGTCATCTGCTTACCAGTAACAGTCCAGAGACTTCTCGAAGGACTGAAGCCTCACATTTTACCCCGACTTACTGATCCCGAGGGTAAAGGCACGCACAGAGTTCTGTTCTCTACTCCAATCCCTGAGAGTGGTGTTGCCGAATTCCTCACGACTCTGGCGGCCAAAATTGAGCCCAAGGGTGTCAAGGTGGGAAGTTACCCTCGCTGGGGCAAAGAGAACAACACAGTAACTCTTGTTGGAAGGTAAGAAGGGGTATAACGCCAAACTGTTCGATATGATATACTGACCCAGGCAAAAGGGACTTGGACTATCTCGAGAGTCTCGTCGAGGAAGTGGAAGCTGGTATCCAGGGTGTGCGAGTCACCGCCGAAAGTGACACGGAAGAAGACCCAAAACAGATCAAGAAGCAGGCAACCGAAGATGCGGACAAGGATACAGCAAAGCAAGTTACTCAGAAACCTTGAAGGGTCGCAGGTGCTCTCATACTTTCCAAATCAGTAGATTGTTGATGGAGTGTGATAGCAACTTTAACGGCTCAACTATCTGTGCAGTTGCATCACATGTAGAGTCGCTATCGGTTAGGCGGCGTGTTTGATTGATATCCTTGGATATATGTAGACATATGCTATAGAGTGTTCGGAGTTATATGCAGTCTGACACTAGCGCACGGTCTCGAAACATTCGGTGATTCAACGGCACAAAACAAGTAGCGTCGTCGATCCCAGCACATTTTGTTTAATATGCAGCATCACTGTTGTAGTTTGTACTTGGGGAGATTACGCTGTTGACATTGAAGGTCAAGTCATCCCATGAAAGTCTACCACGCGTCATACTAGCATATCCCAAAGTTCACTGTTCCACAAGTGAGGTTAGACATACTCGTCTGTCAGATTCAGTAGCTGATGCCAACACATCAAACACTGTGCCATGTTGTGTGCTCGTGTACAAGGACAAGAGTCATGCTGAGTTCCTGTCACATTGCATCTTCCAGACTTTAGGGCTGGCCTACTTGAAGCAACCGAAATAAGACACTTGAGCGGTGTCTACTAGGCTCATTTCCTTAGCAAAGCTTGGGAAGTCGTAACGTAGTATCAATCTGGAGATTTTTTTTGGTGCTCAATACATTAATAAATCATGCGACGTGAGGTAAAGAGAGGGGCTATACTCCGTAACGATTCTGCTACATGGTAGATCGCCACAATTGGGATACATCCGCGTGGCAATCTAGGAAGCGGTTCGCTCTTCGTGAAATGCCACGCTGAATTGGGAAGCTGACTCGAGAATGTCTTTCCCAGAAGGAACCTGGGGTGCGTTGAAGACCAATTTGCAGGGGTAATGACTATGGTGGAGGTGGAGCCGAGGGTGTCTTGGGCACATCGTAACGATACCATGGCAAGGCTCGTGGCATGATCGGCGGCGAGATTAGAGCGAGACGGCAGACCTTGACGACAGGAGATTGGGAATAGTATGTCGTGATGGGCTGCCTTGGCGCGTTGAGCTAGACAAGAGAGTAATCTGCCGAAAAGGGGCTGTTATCAAAAGAAGCACTAAAGACACGTTTGAGTGGACCACAGACAGTGGAGACGGGTAGAGGCGGAAAGAAGACGTCATCTCCAGTGTCGTTCTAGAAGCCAGAGAGATTGAATGTAGAGTACAGAGTAGAGCCTATGATTTTTGCTTATGGTCGCATCAGGACAGGCTCTCTGAAGTATGATGTCCTTATCGGCCGAAAGGATCACATTGCCGTAGCCTACAGAATTCGTGGGATGTCTACGCTGTGATCAACGACGACAGTAGGTCAATTAGTTTTGGACTGTACCCCGTTCGCGATATTGGTCTTCTCTACCTGCATGTGGGCACCTTACCTAGAGGTAGGCGAAGTTCAGCTGCTCATCTGCAGCAGGTCCAGTCACGTGCATATCTGCAACTTTGACAGGACCCCGGGTCCACACCTTCCTTCGACGTTAGGCTAAAACTCGAGCCGCATGTATGGATGAATTTCCTTTTTCCTTTAAGTATCGTATACTTTACGGTTGCGCTTCAATGCTACGAACAGATATCTTATCCACTGGGTAAAAATAATCATAAAAACCCATGCTAGACGCTTGGAGCATCTCTTCCAGCCGCACACCTGGTTCCTTCGGGGCTGGTTGCACACAGCGCTCGCTTGCTTTACGAAGTGAAAGGACGTGTCTACCCGTGAGGGTACAGCGCCAAGAGGCGCTCGCAGTACGAAGTAACGGAGTACAAGCATCAGAAATAACAGGGTCTTGCGGGTAGGTTGGTTTGCTGCTCGGTCTGCGGAAATTGTGTTTGAAAGCGTATCGTGGGCTAGAAAAACCGAACAATAGTCGCAAATCACAGTCAGCGAACGACTGATGGGTTTCATCCTTATTTCGATAAGCAACTGTCATTTTTTGGCGAGATGGGGATGTATATTATGAGTGCACGTACCCAACGAACTCATTTGTTTGACCGAAGCACACGTCCGTACTTGCTTTTTGACCATTGGTTTATACATGCTTGACAGCAGCACGTGGTGAGAAGTTGACCAGGTACAAGTGGCTTGTCTTGTGTTGTAAGTGAATTATATGATTGGCCTACTTGTTCTGACTTGGATCGTGAATAACCAGCCTCTCAAACACATGTTCTAGATTGTAGATCAAACCCCCACCTCCAGGCTATAAAGCAAGCAACTAACATGAGACAATTGAAGCTTCTACACCAATGCTTAGAATTTTGATATGGTGAGTTCGCTTCGCTATATTCACCTACCTACCCTCGTTGATATCATATTATGATATGTAGTAAAATGCTTTTGATTGTATGTACACGGACCGGTATATCCTAGTACTTTGCCAAGCCCATCAAAATGAAACACTCTCTTCAGGCTGATATCATTCATTTGGATATTATATTTCGGTGCAAAGTAATAGCCTCACGGGGCTCACCGTTCAGAGATAACATTACGAGATAATGACTGCTGTGGCATCGCATTCAGTAGAACATGTTATCTTCCTCGCCATCAATGCGTCAAGGTGTAACCAAACCCCACCCGGCATTGATCTCATTGACGCGCTGTCACATCTTCGATAGCCTCAAACGCACCAGCGCTATGGTAGTCATACTACGTAGTAGCAAGACGTGCCGGATCGGGCTGCCATTGCCCGCCTTACCAAAGCGGAACAGTTACTGCGACGTCTGATGCGCATGTGTATGGGGGTGGCAAAAACAAAGTGGCAGACAAGCCTTGTGAGACGTGTACGCTATAAGCTGGATCAATAAGACCTATGCTTGTGCAGTGAGGATCTATATGTTGAACACAGGTAGATAGATATACTAGGTATGGTGGATAGTGTGAATGCAGTCAGCGGCCGTATCAAAGCGCCTATGATTTGGCTTTTCGCAGTCAGGTTACTATTTTATCTCAAGACTCAATTTCAACGGCCGTTAATTTGTCATGTTAACATATATGTTGTATTAGTTGCTTGCCTACTTGTATCTACCGAGACGAGTGGTATTAGTGGAGAGGATTTAGCGAAAGGGAATAAAGGCGAGGATCGCTCTGTTAGGCCCTGCTCTGTACGTTGAACCATGATCCTGGACCTACGCCTGAGACTCGGAACTAAACCGTCTAAGATTAAGAGCATCGGAGCTTGGCCTTGGGAAGCTCATCACCCCATCGATTCCCCAGTTGCCAGGCCCAGGGATGGGCTCTAGGCCCCTAGACCTGCAGAGTTCAAGGGGCAGAGGATTCGATCTGCACAGGATCAGGTAAAGATGCGTGTGTACCTGAATTACGCATCCCTTTTTTGTTAGTCTGTGGCCATTTTTATGACGGGTCGAGATAGTCGGAAACGACTGAATTCTGTCAAAAATATGTAGTCCAAGTCTTTAAGGTATGGCGCTTGGGCCATGGAAACGACCATAGAGTAAAGGGACGTGAACTCTCAAAAAAGAAAAGAAAAGAAAAGAGAAAAAGTACATGGGCAACAACTATCGGAGTAAAAAGTCGTGATGCCTTGGGAAGTCTTGTGTGTCTTCTTTTCTGGCTTATAAGTTGTGGAATAATATCTAGGTTACCCAGGCCAGGCGGTGGCAGTAATAAACAAAAGATGGGGAGTGATAATTTAAATAATCAAATGGTCGGCCTCATTTACATGGCTGACTCGACCGAGATGGCTGGGGTCACGGCGCCGGCGTCTTTCAGGGCGGCGTCCCGCAATCGATTCTCTGGAGTTAACTTGGCGAATAAGACGACAGGCAGGATGGAGTGAGGAAGAACGGACTAATTCGTTCTATTGACTATACATAGGTAGTACAGAGAGACTTGGAGGATATTTGTTAAAGGAGCTTAAAAAGAAGCGCAGAATAACTTTAGATTGGTTGAGTGAGTAGCTGCAACCGTAGCGAGGCAAGCAGCAAGGCGTGCCTTTGCAGTTTACTACTGTCTTGGCTAGCCGTTAAGGATCTGCACCCTCGCCATGTATCCATCGCTGTTACTGTCGGTGACCAGTAGCTCAGAAGCTTAGTTGGCGTTCATCAAGACGAACGACCCTGCCCTGGTTGGCAAATTACAACATTCAGGGACTTAATCCATTGCCCCCTATTCCATCCACTTCTGCTGCTACCCATCGGTGTTATATGTACTCCGTATGTACACATGCCTCAGGGTATCAGAAAAATCAACCGTTGAGCATAGGAGATGAAATTAGTAGGTCACTTTATGCTCCTTAGACTATAGTTCTTAGACTACTTATTTTTATACCTCAAGACTTAGGAGGCTATCTTTTCTGCTACCTACTAGACATGTACAGATTCCAGTTGACCAGTACAGAATTTTAAACGGATACGTCCTTGTTAACAATTATCTATGATGACGACGGTGGGTGAGTTATCTATCAGAGGCCATCAACGATTCAAAGTACTGCAATACACAACCACGCGGATACGGTGAGAAGCTGCCTACAGAACAATGCACAATCAGCTTTCTAGCACGCTACAGTGTGTCTGCGATTGGCAGAGTAGACGCAGCCAGCCGCTGCCCTTGCAGAAACGAAGCTGCATCGCATCGCATCGCATCGACGAGGCCAGCAACCTACGGAAGGATCCTCCTGAACTCTACTATGCATGCATATGTACATACTGTTCGGATACAGATACGGGAAAACAAGGCCAATTGTTAATCAGTGAGAACTGGAGCTTCGCTGATCAGCAGCAAGTAGAGCAAGGGTCCCCCCGAGAAAAGCAATGGACCCATTAAGGTAAAAAAGATGGTATGGATCCATCCATTGCTTGGCTTGACCCATGGACGCTTTAGAATAGACACGCCCCCCTTTCCCCATACCAATTTTTCTTCCACTACAGATAGGAGCCTGAGCTTTTCCTGAAGGGCCACTGAAAGTCCCTGAGTCACCTGGGGTCTGAGAAATTCAATGTTGACTTCTGATGTTGACCATTATCTATCTCCCAGCACGACAAAACCGGAGACGGCCGAAACAGAAGTCTTGTTTTCTGGCTCTCTTTTTGGACTCTTTGACAAACTCTGGTGGCTTGTTTTGTTTTGCAAACTGCTAATGGACAATCCAAAAGACAAGACAAGGACTGGTCCAGCTTACGCCAGGTTCATTTCCATTTTCTTGCACCAACACTAGTTTCCCGCCGTCCTGGCGGCTGGAAGAACTAGTCATCTAATCTAGCCACTCCAGCTGTGGTGAGATCGTAGAGCTCCTCATCTTAATAACCAGAGAGGCGGCTGTATTCGAGTTGGAGAGGACGGTGGGCGCCTCTGGGCTTGCTGGTAGGGCTGCAGAAAACACATGATAGGCCACTCTCTAATCAATAGTGAATTATTTGACCCCCTATGTTAAAGATGAAAGTTCAAGATTTCGTAGAACAAATACTGTTCTGTCAACGTCTATGGCGAGCCTTTGATCTCCATTGACGGTTAACACCTCCCTCCTCTAGAATTTAGAGGCTGGGCTTCATCGACCCTAGCGACCAATCCGGCCCCTCAAAAGGCCTACACATACCTTTTATCCACTGACAGGACGGGACGGGAAGTCTCCAGTAATAATTCCATGGGGCCTGACCATCCATCTCAGCGCTCGGGAGCGCCCAGACATTAACCACCTGGAAAGCCGTGGGATATTGGTGCTGGGTGTGTGTCCGTATACACTGAAGGCCTAGTGAGAAACACAGGGCAAAACAAAGTGAAGTCATGATTCTTAGCTGTTAATCGAAGGGAAAACGGACCAGGTCAGGCTAGACTAGACGAGACCAGCCTTCCCTGGTCATGATATGAGAGAAAGAGACCGTTCTCGTTAACCGTATCCTTGGATGGGTTCGTTAATTGATTTTTTTTTTTTGGAGTGTCCATGTTAACCGTCGTGTATCGGATACCAGTGGTCCAAAAGGAAAAAAGCAACCGACTGCAAACACCCAGAACACCTGGGCAAGCGCGAGAATGGTTAGCAAAGGTCGTAGGTACTTCTGAAGTGATCTCTCTCCCAAGCGATCAAAATGTACCTGATACCGAGCTGACCCATCCATTCCAAGGTGCTCCCAAACCAATCCGATCCGTGGACGCCCCCCTTCCTCCCTTTCCCTTGCTCCTCTTCCAGGATGCTTTCCTACCCTGGCCATTCGACCCTTTCCTCTTTAGGCCTGTTCCCCTTCCTCTACTCTCTACCCTCGCTCAACTCCCTCTGCTTTGACCTTTTTTCTTGAACCCATTTGGCCCATCCGAATCGTCTTTCCCTCTCTCTCCACACATTCAGAACTAGAATCCGCTCGCCCCAGCGGCAAATCGTTCATTCTCTCTCTTACTTCCTTTGTTCTTCTACATCGTCTCGCCTGCGAAAGTACACAACCTGCCTTCTTCCAACTCCATCTTCATCTCCATTTCCGCTGTGCTGTCGTCCTCGGTTGTTGGCCTTTCAATCCGGTTTACTCGCGACTTGCCTTGCATCATCTTGAATTTACGACAACTCGCCTCGAGCAAAAGATAATACAGGAAGTGCAACTCAAACGCTAATTCACAATGGCTGCGAACACAAAGGTACGATGCGAAAACAACATTGTCTCCACGGAACACGCTTTCAGTCTTTTTGAGCCTCTGCCTACCTCAATCAACCGGTCAAGCATCATTGTCTTACTAACTCTGAGATACAGTTCCTACGAGAGTACAAGCTCGTCGTTGTCGGTGGCGGTGGTGTCGGTAAATCTTGTTTGACCATTCAGTTGATCCAGAGCCACTTCGTCGACGAGTATGATCCTACAATTGAAGGTTCGTGAACTTTAATCGCATTTGCATCATCGTTATGCCGTACCACAACACGCACTGACATAGTACCTCGCATAGACTCGTACCGAAAGCAGTGCGTTATCGACGAAGAGGTCGCCCTGCTCGATGTTCTCGACACAGCTGGCCAGGAGGAGTATAGCGCCATGCGCGAGCAGTACATGCGAACCGGAGAGGGATTTCTTCTAGTCTACTCCATTACTTCGCGACAAAGCTTCGAGGAAATCACCACATTCCAACAACAGATTCTGCGAGTCAAGGATAAGGACTACTTCCCCATGGTCGTTGTTGGCAACAAGTGCGATTTGGAAGGTGAACGAGATGTGTCACGACAGGGTACGTCGATATCATAAATCCTATTCGACCAACATTCACTGACGCTTTTTTTCTTTTCTTTTACAGAGGGAGAGGTTCTTGCCAGATCATTCGGCTGCAAGTTTATCGAGACCTCAGCCAAGTCACGAATCAATGTCGACAAGGCCTTCTACGATATTGTACGAGAGATTCGAAGATATAACCGCGAGATGCAGGGTTACTCGACCGGCAGCGGTGGCACCTCTGGCGCGAACGGACCCCCCAAGCCCATGGACATGGACAATGGCGAACAAGAAGCCGGATGCTGTGCCAAGTGTGTGCTCATGTAAACGGAATGGCACATGTGGACGAAAAGCGCCCGCCTCGAGACGAAGGTGGATGTGATTGACAGAATATACCCGCTTTGTCTGGGTCTTGTCGATTACGTGCAATACGATGTGAGGATGCAATTTAACCAGGAGGCTTTCGGAAGAGCACGGAGATGAATTTTTGACTGCATCGGATGAGGAGTCAGGTTTTGGGCTCGCGTTCATGTTTAAAATGGACGCAGCCTATGGAAATACCCAGCAATATGGGATAAGGGACCCGGCGTGCCTACGACATGTCATGTCTTTGTGAGGCCGATGGCTCATGCTTAATGACCCATGTCCATATGACGTGGAACATGGATCGGCGTTTCTCTGGAGCGGCCTGCTGTTTTGGACGTTGTGGATAAGCAAAAAAACGGACCGTCTACTCACTGGAAGAGAGAGAAAGACACCGGGAAGGGAGTTGATGTAAGTATAGGCAAAGCAGTGCAATGCTATACTGATCATCCCTTCCCAACGACCTCGCGAGAGACACAACCCACCCGATCTTTTCCTCGTTTGGTTCGTGTTGCCGCGGAGGATGAATATTTCAAGATTAAAGCACGGCTTCTACAGGTTCTTTTATATCCATTATTTCATACATGTAATTTTCTCTTTTTTTTTTTTTTTTTTTTTTTTTTGCTTCTTTTCTTTTTTCTATCTTGTCAATCTCGAGGTCTCCTTCTCTCCAGCAGCAATGGTTCAGTCAGACAATACAAACACAATTTTCTTACGGTTCAAATATTGATTTCTTCCCTTGAGCAGAACATTCCGATGAGTCGTGATTTCAGCCACATGGCTTTTCACATGAAAGCGAGACGGAATGCTTAATGCCAGTGTCCACCCAGTGAGTTCTTGATCGCGCACAATAGGTTGGACAAGTGCCGGACTCACTCAGAAAGGTCGATCTCACTCCAGTTGTGTCTCGATCTGTTAACATCTGGAAGATTGATTGATTGGAAAACTAGACTGTCTCAAATACGCCAAACTCCGGAATCTACGCTCTTACTGCCTCCATCATCGATCATTACATCCCACCCATTTCGACATCTTCTATTTGACGAACCCCTGCATGCACCGCTTTTTGACGCGGACCAAGAATCTCACGCCCAATGTTTGAATTCCATAATTTCTTGTCGATGAGACTTGGCTGGTTTGTCCCGTCGTTCTTCTCGTTTGCTACCCAGTCGTTGCAGTTCACACATGCCCATGCTGTGGGCGCGCCGTTCAGGAAGCCCCCAGAATCTGCCGATAGATTGACACTATCGAGAGGCTTTCGGGCAAGACAACCTGGGCATACCGCCTTCTTAAAGCATGAAAGCCGCCATTCCTGCATCAAAGCTGAGAATTTGAGAGCCTCTTCAGCATAGTGCAATCTATGGAATCTGCAAAGGGATGTTCCAAACATCCTGTTCGCACATGAGCAGCCTGTCAATGCCTCCGTGTTGCGGAATTCCACGGCCCGCGACGGGTCATTATCGGGCGTGTAGGTACTTTGAGGATGTTCTGTGTCAGCCACTATACCATATATTCGGCGGGCGCCAATGGCTCTGTATTCGATTGCGTTCTGAACACTACTGCTCATATGGCCAGCACAATCATTGCATAAGTAAGCACGCATGCTGAGAAGTTCATTCTCCGTGACGGGGCTATGGTCATGACGAAACATGTCTTTGACGTTACCCTGGACGCAATTATCGCATATCGGAAAGTAGCCAGGCATTGTGTTGCGATGTGCAAGACTTTGGCAATCCGCTTGATCTTGCCCATTGACGTTCCGAGAGCCACAGCGACCGATCCCACCGTTTCCTGGCTCGGCGCAACGTTGTTGTGATTTCCCGCCTTTTTGCTGGTAAGGGATATCGTCCAAGACATTCGCCTGAGGCGCGGGTTGCTTCCACTGGCCGTTGACAACAGAAAAGAGGCGTGGTTCAGATGATCTTTCATCGGGCTGGTTACTTGACCTGTGCCACTTCTCCATATCGAAGCCCTCAAGAGGGTTGAAAGCTTTCCATCGTGAGCTTTTCTCCTTTGTTTTGAGGCGCGGCTTCTGATTCTCACCCAAAACGAAGCCCAGGAAGGGGTTGAAGCTCTTATCCTTCGTGTTTGTGTCTTTGGGGCCTCGGTTTGCGAAAGCTTTCCGTCGGCTGTGAGCCTTGAATATTCCGGCGTAATTGTGGTTCGCCATGAAGCGGCCACGAGGTTTATCCTCATCAAGGCCGAGCATCCTTCTTAGAGAGTCTTGATTCATCGTGGTGATATCAATGTTTGGGCCCGATTCCGCTGGGGGTTGAGCCTGTTGGGCCTGTTGAGCCTGCTGATCATCACCACCTTGTTGATATCCGAATAATCCTGAGGCGATCAAGTTATCAACAGCAGCGTATGAGTTTTCTTCCTGCTGTGGCCCATTGACCACTGGCTGCTGGATGGGATCAGGAAGAATAAAACCACCATCATATAAATCGTCCATATACAATCCAGATGTGACACCAGGTGCTTGTATAAGGAAGCCTGGGGTTGGTGGCTGAGCTGGAGCTTGAGGGGCCGCGTTTTGTCTTGCAGGAAGACCCAGCAACCCACTGTGGAGTGCTTCTAGGTCAGAGAGCACTGGGTTTCCTTCAAAGGTACGTGGCATTGCTGGCGCCATAGACGCATCTATTCCAGCCTCTGCCATCTTCGTATTCTGGGCATCGCAGAGCGAATTCCAAACCGTCCGATATGCCTGACCATCTCCCACCGGAACTTGGTAGCCTGGCCAGAAATGAAGGATGAGCGCTGCCAACTGTTCGACCGTCAGTTCCCTGGACTGCACGTCTTTGAACACGCCTGGCGTGCCCTCAGCTGTGCTCAAGGGGGCGGTGATGCCTGGGGGAAGCACGTTGCTTGGTGGCCGATGGCCTCGATGCAAGTCGGCGACAGCTCGATAATGAGCCGCGCCATCTTTAAGAGTATTAATGCCGTATACGGGAGCAACAGGGCCAATCCAATGCTCGACACTTCGTCCATCTTTGATATCGTTGACGCCTCCTGGGCCGTAGCCCAAGGCCAGATAATACAGCGGACCAGGGGGCGGAGCCTGTTGGCCTGTCCCATGCTCAGCGATCTTGAACCGGGAGATGCATCCATGTGCATTATCCTTCTTTAAACCATCGCATGCGGAACCGGTGCTTGTGCAAGAATCGCACGGCCTCATTCGATCACAATTGCGTCCGTTGTCTTTACACGATTTGCAGACTACGTACGGAGTATACTGGCCGAAACCAACTCTGCTCAAGTCGTAGATTGGATATCTTGTCCATGCATCATTTTGGACGTCATATGTGGTACAGTCGACACCGAATTGTGTGCAGCGCTCACACGCGTAACCCGACTGATGCCACATAACTAGGCACTCGACTGATGCTCCAGCCCATTGGCAACCTGTACACTTCTTACGCCATATGGTACCGGTGGTGGCTTCCACGTACTCGTACCATTTGATTTTTCGGTTTTTCAATTTCTTGTTCTCGTCCACCTCGAACTTGTCGCGTATACACCAAGTTGTTGGGGGAGGCTCATGCGAAGGTAGTGCGATGATGTTGCTTTTGTCGTCCATACACGGCGCACCGTCTTGGAGGCATCTTGTGCAGCCCTGTTTCTGCGTATCCCCCCACAGTCGCCTGTTGGTGAGCCAGTTACAGCACTCGTCTCCTTTCATCGTCTTGAATTGTAGATGGCGTGCAAGGCATCGGTCACACGCGTGCCGATACCATGCTGAAATAGTCATCTTTTTGGGCCGTTGCATGGGAATAAGACTGTCATCAACACAGCAACGCTGGTCGCGCCGACAGTGAGAACAAACGTAGCCGAGCATGGCGTCTACGTCGCAAGTCTCTGACGCTCCGTTGTTCGAGCAACGGTCGCATGCAGGCTCTGCGAAGGTTGGGGGATCAGTATCGCCGTATTGCTTGTATTTGAAATCGACCAGAGCGGACTTGACGCCTGGGACGCGACACATATGATCGTTGTCGGTAGCAACATCTCCGGGCTGTCGGTTTCGAGAACGATAATCTGCGCAGTTGCCGCACTCTCTGTTGAAAACATCCGGGCCCATACTTGGGATTTGCTCCCAGTCGCATACTGGGTTCGCGATGAACATCGTCTTGCCGATGGGATGATTGGCGCAGAAGTCACATATGCCCCCTTTTGCGATATCGTGGTCACCTCGAGTGCTTACGGAAGTCTGCTTGTCTTTGGCCATGTCGGCGTTCTCGTCCTTGCCTTTTTTCTTATCCTTACGGTTTGTCGTCTTCAGAACTAGCGGAGGGGCAGTGCCTTCATTGTTGGGCATGGCAAGCCGTGAGGGCCTGATGTAATAATTCTTTGAGGCTTTGTCGGGGCCCCTCGCAGGCCTCGTAGATGTGGAAGTGTTGGTTCCACTGCTGCTCGCTTTGCTCTTGGCACTAGTTTTTGCACGGCTTCTGGTTCTCTTGGAAACTGGCGTGTTGTCGTTCGAGGCCGGGCTGTCGACTTGGTTGCCATCGTCTTCAGCAGCAGCAGACTTTGCAGTTTTCCGCCGTGTACGACGGGGCTTATCAGCAGTGGGTGATGGTGCTCGACCTCTCTTCTTGCCCTTGGTAGTATCTGAATCAGGAGCCGCCGGACTTATGGAAGGGGCTTGATTCAAAACATCGGCGGGTTTGAGGTAGGGCGAGGGAGAGGGAGAGGGACCCGAAGGAGCGGGAGAAGGATTCGAGAATACAGGAGGAGGGAAGCTTGTGTTAAAAATTGGGAACCTAGGATCAAGGGGTGGATATCCATCGGGATATGCAGGAGTAGGAACTGGAAAACCCAAAGTACGAGCAGGTTGGTTCTGAGGAGGAACAGTGGGGGATTTGAAGATGGGTTCATCAGTGATGGGGTTGATGGCTGGGGCCAAGGTCGGATCGTGGGTCGGAACGATGGGTGGCTGAGATGATTGAGGGATCTTGCGGGAAGCTGATGGCGAATTGGACTGGTTGAGATCAAGCAAATTAGGATCTATCAGGCCAGGATCTAGCCAAGGCTGATCTATCTCATCGTTCGGATCGGGAGGCGTGGGAGGAAAGTAGTTGTTATCTGCCATGATTCGAGATGCACTGACGGGTGGCAGTTAATGATTACTCGATTGGATAGTAGACTTCTAGTTCGAGGAACGATAGACTAATACAAAATGAGGGAGTAGCCGATGTATAATGTAAACAAGTCAACGTGGTGAGACTGATAACCAGTTTATCAAAGACTGTGAAAATCAAAAGAACAGTGTTGAACCAGAATAGACCATGTTAGAAAGGAAGGTCTCCGTGTCTAAGGCAATATAATGATTTGAACCACAACGAGCTGACCTTCTGATTCTTATCAGTCGATTCCCTATGTCTCGAGTCTCAATCCCTTTGTTTCGTGGGCACTCTCCTCAGTGTAAACCGTCTTTGTTGTATTGGCCCCCCTGGACTAACCCCAAGCTCTTTGGCTCCCAATTTAGACGCTCACTGTTCTTTCAGAGAATGTCCCGTGTTCGCCTTTGATGTTGGGCCTGTTTTACACAAAGAACCGGAAGAGCGAGCGGGAACAATCATTGGGTGCTCATGAAGCTTTCATGGTGTCATTCGTGAATGTAACTGATTCGGGAACTCGTCTTTTGTCAGTGCGGACTTGCCGAGACTCACCATTGTGATATTTTAACTGTTTTGAGATGTTCGAACCGTTCTCAAAAAGAGAACGCCATATCATGTTCTTTGTTGATATTTGTATTCACCTGAATGACTAGAGCTCTTTCTTGGATCTCATGCATCCCCGTTATGATATAGTAGCGAAGTGGTGTTTGTTGGTGTGACTTGGGTTGGATACTTGGAAGATGAACACGTACATGTTGTGAAAGCATCAACTGAGAAGTCGAGACGCAGTTGCTAGGGGTATCGTGAAAAGGGTTACTTTTATATCTACACATAATCTTCACATCGCACTTCAGCGTTCTAGGCAATAACCTCCTTCTTCTCTCCAGACGCCCTTTTCGTCGATGCTTGCTTCTCTTGCAAGCCAGTGTTCGCTATGCATCCCAAACCGTCCCATAATTCCCATCAAAGAAACGCTCAATTAGTATCCTCGATCATCTCCATTGTACATACATGTCTAATGACTCGCAATTTCCCAACAATCCTCCCTGCCCTTCTAGTCCAGATATCATCTAGGTAGGCGAGAGAGAACTTGCGCACATCTAGATACCTGTCCTCAAAATCAAATTTGCCTTCCCCTATCATCAATGTAGGCCCTTGCTCATCCAGAGAACTGGAAGCGAGTGGCCTCAAGCTGGCCAAGACCATCGCGAGGAGCCACATTTCGTCGCCTGTATGTGTTGGTGAAATCTTGCAGAATCGCACGCACGTTCTTCATAGCACTGGGATCTCCTGACTGAAGTCTCTCCTTGGTCTTGAGCAGGAATCGGTTGGCTTCGGTCGGGGAGACGGTTCCCTCAGGCAGTAATTCTATTGTACGGGACACCCACTCGTGAGTCTCAAGCGGGACCAGCTCAAAGCAAGCCAGGAGAACACCACTGCCGTCGGCAAAACAGTCACGAGGGAAAGTGATCATCATACCCGCCATGATCTGCTTGACCAAGTTCTCGCCGAGGGTTTGCAGCAAGCCCTTAACAATGTTCTTCATCTCAGATGCCGCGGCCTCAGGAAGACCGTCACTAGTAGCAGGGTTGTCGCCACCATAAGAGAGCAGGTCGCGGAGGAAGTGCAGTGTTGAGGAGAGAGGATCTCGCTGCTCAAGGGTCAGAGCATAGATAGACGCCTCAAAGATGGATCGCAGCAGGTGAGAGGGAATAAGCTTCTGGGGGTAATATAGAAGAGCGTCAATCAGGAGGCGGAAGAAGTCATCGATAACGTCAGGAAGTTCCTTGGGTTGCAGTTCCGTCATGACTCTAAGGAAGGTTGTTGTCTGAGCCTCAAAGAAGGTGTAGATGTTTTCGGTGGTAGCTTGGTCAACGTGCTCACGAGCCTCGGAAAACTCACGCAGAATTGCCGAAGTCACCCACAGGAAGCAGCCTTCCCTGGAGTTGTTGAAACCACCGGCGAGTTTGTTTGCCATCTCGGGGAGCAAGGGGGCCATGGCTGTACGGTGGGAAATTACCATGTTGCGCCAACACCTGCACACACGCTCACATATGGGTGTAAAGCTCAGGAAGTTGTCCAGTACGGTGGAAAGGATGGGGAAAACCTCTTGCCAGTACTTAACAGCAGGGTTGTCCTGACCTGGGTTGACAGGAGGCACAACATGCTGAACAAATATGGTGACGAGTTGCAGATGATCTAGACAAGGGTTAGCTGTTTGGCAGTTCTAGATGGGGTTGACATGCTTACCTGCGAGAGCCAGCTTGCCCTCCTCGTCAGTGGCAACGTTTGCCTTTGTCATCAATCGCTGAATCAAGGGGTCACAATAAACCTTGAGTAGACGGTAAACCTCCTCCGTAGGCTGGCAAGCCACAACGTTGGCAACACCCTCTGTGATCTCCTCCTTACTCAGGTCGGGAAGCTTGTCGAGAACTTGATCATAAAACTCCTGAAGCTGCAGCACCTGGTCGCTCAAGAGATGCTTACAATCGGTGCAGAAGTACTTGATGGCCAAGGCAGCACCCCGTACGATCTCCTTGGAATCCGATTGGAACGACGTGACGATGTAGTTGAACTGAGGCTGGAGATATTCGGGGTGTGCGGCTGTCCATTCTGTGTATCGGCCAAGGACCATGATGGTTGCGAAACGAAGTTTCTCATGGCTGGGCATCTGTACAAGAAGAGGCATGAGCTGGGGCAGGACAATGTTCTCGTCCTTGTCAACCATACGTCCCAGGGCGCGCATCGCAAAGAGAGGCGCCTCCAGTTCTTGCCAGTGAGGAACTGTTGTGTCGGTCACCTGGTTGGCATACTTGGACATCCACAATTGTATGGATTGGAGAACCTTGGTCAGGCAATCTGTAACACCCATCACCTCGCAGCAATCCTTCAGTGTATCGCCCATGTGGTGTCGGAACTCTCTGAACTTCTCCTCCTGCTCTCGATCGCCATCGAACAAGTCGTTTTCGTTACCCGATTCCGGCTTGGGGTACTCGAGGTGCTTCAGGAGAACGTCAACCAGCTTTGAATAAACGTCAACCAGCTCAAGTCGACCCTGTATGTAGATATCGAGCACGATGTAGAGCTTGAGCTCATACCAAAAGTTGAAGGTATGCTCGATAACTTCCCGCTCTGTATCTCTTAGGGCGCACTCCAAGATTGCATCAACCAGAGGCCGGAAGTGTGCGGGCTGACGTGCGATTCCAACAACCCAGCTTTCCGCGGCTGTCGCAAACACCTTGGTCAAAGCCTTGAGTGTCTCAGTATCCTCCTCCTCGGCTGCCTTTGCGATTTGAGGCTTGAGTGAGATAATCCGAGGGAATAGCATTTCGATGATCTCTTGGCTCTCGTCTACGTCGCTGGTCTCTCGAAGCATGGTGCAAAGACACTCGGAAGCCTCCTGGCTACAGTTATCGCTTGTCGTGCCGTTGAAAACGATGTCCATAAGGGGCGACTTGACAACATCGCCGACTGGGACCTCTCGAAGCCAAGATGTGATACATTCCATCAACTGAGGGTTTTGTGCAGCTGCAGCTACAGTGGATGTCAGTGGTTTGTGTGCAGGAATATCTAAACAACTTACGTGAAGATTGGGAGTAGTTAATGAGCAGTTGGACAACCTGGCCCGCGTTGTCTGCCAATAGAGCTTGCGTTCGCATGGCAAGGTCTTCTTCCTAATTCCAACAATTAGACTTGAACTGGTGCTGAGATCGACCGGATTTGACAATCTCGAAAGAAGTGTGTTTCCGATCTATAGTTGCGCGATCCACATACAGACAAGGTGATCTTTCGACCTTCGGTAACTTCTTCGGGAAGAACCCGCAGAAAGTCCAGGATACAGGCGTGGCTCTCGGGACTGTCGCTAAGTGACTGAACAACAGATGACAGGACATCGTTCCAATCCTTCATCTGGATGGCAAGGATGGCCAGGCATACGCAGAGTTGGACGCGGATAGGCTTGGGTCCTGGGGCGAAATGCTTTAGAAGCAAGAGGATCTGGGTTCGGAGAGCGGGCAGTTCGCTGGCAGGAACTTGAGTAGATAGGTCGTATGTAATCTAGAAAAAGTCAGAAATGAGAGGGCATAGAAGCTTGCATGAGCGTTAAACCTTTCCACGGAGGGTGATGGCAGCAAAGAGAGTGGCCTCTGGCTCAGCATCTGACTGCAGAATACCTATTATAGTTGCCCATGAAACCTTCTGTATACCTCAGCTATTAGCGAGCTGACGAGTAAAAGTTAGAACATTGCAGTAACCCACCGATTTCTGAAATCTCTCCAAGTATTCGTGAGCATGCTTCTTTGCGTCTTGCTCCCCGCTCCTCATCGTCATGACAGCAGCCAGCACATCGGGCGGCGCAAAGGCCTCCTGGGCTCCGTTCGTAGCCATTACGTATCAAGCGACTGGCAGAAGGTGTGGAAGTAGAGATTCGGATAAGTTGAATATGTTGCGCACGATGAACCCTGGTGGTTGCGGCGCATATAAAGGGGGCAGCAGCTGGGCGTCGATGGGTGTTACTGGGAGTCGCAAGCGTAAAGGTTGGCGGAAAGGCGGGCTGAGAGCACCAGTTGAGAAAGAAGGAAAGAAGCGAAGTGAGGGTATGGTAAAGGGGGAAAGGAGGACCCCGGACGTCAGAGAAGAGTCGTTTTAATGATCAGACCAAAGTTCGAGGTGGGATAAATGATGTATCCAGGCTAGAGTCCATCAGAAGTAAAATACAAAGCCCACCCAACTCAGCAAGCCAGACGTTGTCAGTCATGGCGGGGCAACCTGATGGCCGTAGATTAACCGATAATACTTTCACGCGTCATAAACGGCCTGATTTCTTGACAGTCAATAAGTTTGAGGTGATGATCTGAATACTTTACTACTTAGTATTTTAGATTTTGTCGAGATGAAAACAATCTTTGAGGGTCGTTTTGCTAAGTAGGTATGATTCACAAGCATCAAAGAAATCTGCGACAAAGACAGAAACATGCCCTAGGTAACCAACTGTTACTGTCACGTGTCTGTCGATGTCTTGGATTCAGGTCAAATGCTTAATCAGGTTTTTGTACTAAAGATCCTGCAATGGATATCGTGAAGTAGACGCTTCGTGAACACCGTGCTTGATCTCACCATCACCGATAATGAGCCCGTTGAGCCTACGGTCGTGAGTATCTGTTGGAATCTGGTGCTCCGATGTCGCAGGAACCATCTGTTCCTTCAAAGCCAGACCATACAAGTGCAGCGGATTTTGCTGAGCGATGCCTTTTGACTCGAGCTTGGCCATATATCTGTTGATAAAAAAGTCATAAAAACCTTTGCCGTGACCAAGACGCCGAATCGACCCTGATTCATCAAAGTCGAATGCAACTCCTGGGACGACAATGAAGTCGAGAATGGCAGAGTCAGAAGTCTCGACGTCCGAGTCGCCTAGTATACGTTTCCTTGCATCGGCAGTGGCCGGATCCACGCTTGGAATCCCCCACTTGTCCAGCTTGAGGCTTTCGTAGTCCTGTATGTTTTCCAAATGGACCATATCCATTACGCGTGATGGGGTGTCCGGTGTTTGGAAAGGCGACTTGTGAAGGTAGGGGACAAAGACTTGCTTGCCGGCACCAAGTGCATGGCGAACAATGGCATCTGTTTGGACCTCGGCGGTAGGCATGGCTAGGTAGATGCTGATGCGTCTAGCATCCTTGTAAGGCTGAAGCTCTTTCAGAGACTCAAAGATACAACGACCTGTGTGACTCAAGTTAGGGGAATTGTCCAAGAAAAGCACGGACATTATGAATGGATGAGTGGTTGTTTGATTGTTTGGTGATCATACTCTGAGTAGTGATGGAGTCCTGTGATATCGTGGAGAGCTTCTGCTTCACAAGCTTCCGCAGTTGCTGCTTAGCAGCAGGAAGGGATGACGCCATAGCCACAACAAGGCTGATTAAATTTGATGAGCCAGGGTGGTGGATTGATATTGGTTCCTGTTGGTGAAGAAGCGTGTTTTTCTAGCTGATGTTTAACTTGTTCCGTGGAAAGGGTCCTACTGTACATTACGCTAAAAGCAGTTGTAAAGCAGCGCCCTTGGCACCGACAGAGCGGATACGTGCCGAACCCAAATTCGGTCTCTGGCGTCATTTCAGTTCTTGACCCTTCATCATGTGCCAGGACCCAGCGCCGGCGACGTTTAAGAAGCCGCCGCAGACATCGGCGGTGAAGCCCAAGGCAACAGACTAGGCTTTATTATTCATTATTTTATTCCACAAAGGCGGATGTCAATAATGAATGTTCTGAGGTTATCAGATAGCCAACAATGAACCAGGGTCTCGCACGGGAACCCCCACGCCATATTCAAGGTCAACTTGTTACCAGTATCAAATTTGCCTCACTTCATAAGACGAAGAAGAATGGCTTTATTAGTACGTAATGTATATAAATATTAGCTACAGAGCGAGTGATGAATTCAGTTAGACTTTGAAAATCGTGAGCAATCGCCAAAAGTCCTCCGGTATGAACCTAGGGGCAAGGAATATCGTTTAATTCAAATTGATAGTACATAATCAATATTGAATTGTTTGAATTGTCAAATATCGGATTGGTAGAGAAATCCTTCTAATTTACAGTGTATCTCGAGCAGGGTCCATGCTATGGATAAAAACGTCCGTGTTTCTGTCAAGCATGAGCCAGGAAACGCTAATCATTTGCAATACGACGCGTTTCATTGCTCAAAAGTTGGGATGAAATCCCCATACTCATACCTACCCAGGCATGTCTCAGGCATTGTGATGAGTTTGAACATGGGTAACTCGGGGTCTAACGCGTGTCATATTTTAATAACGTTGCCTGGGTGTGAACTTTAACATTGCTATATGCCATACCACAAGCTATAGGTTAATCCTTTCAAGCTTTGCTGAGATTGAATCAGGAACAGCTTCCTAAATGGCTTGATCAGCGCATGTGCAACGAAGATAAAAGGTAAGTTGTAGAGACTCGCTGAAGGCCTGGTCAGAACCAAAGGCCAACAGGAACATCTTGAAGCAATGCCCGCTGCTATCTAATCAGATTCATCGTTCATCAGCAGATATTGTCCCCTTCCCTGTACATACAGAGGTAGCCGAAATGGAGTTGCCAGGGATTCTTTAGCCCGCTTGGTTATTGCCGGCCGTCCGTCGTTGAGATACGGTGCTCAGTGCATTTCGGGGACGAGGACATGGGTTGAAATTGTATAAGATTCGCTGTGTGATTGGGAACACCTTCATCAATAGTGATGTTGAGCTACTACTACACGGCCACCCAAACCATGAGTCTTGGACAAGGGCATGCCACTTTTTAGATCAAAGATCATCAGTAGATCTTCGCGTCTGCTTCAAAGTCGACTACTAACGTAACTATTTGCTACATGTATAACTCAACTGAGAGGTTACCTAAAGGCCAAGGACGGTGTGTTTCCCATTCTGGCCATGACCCGTGGGAGGATTCAGCAGCCGGTCTTTACCTAGCACCCTAGGCACCCTGTGGAATAGTGCTTGGCTTCGGCAGCCTCCCGTAAATAATTGCGAGTTGCAATCCAATTGGACGGTTTTCATTCCTCATGCCAGCACACCTTCTTATCTGCGAAGAAATAACCATTGCCAGTTGTGATGGCTCAAAATGTATATGCTTGTTCCCTTTCAAATCTTGACCGCAAATATACACACATAACTCTTCTCTTTAGAAATATGTATTAGCTTATACAGACTTGACGATGCGTCATCCCGTCACCGACTCCCTTGTCATCCGCCTGATCCTAGTCACCCACTAAACACCCTTGGGCTCTCCACGTATCCGTTCATACAGACAGGGCTGGCGTAGCCTTGCTTTTTTGGTCTCTCCCGTTTCTTGCCAACCACTCACTGCCTCTTCCTCTATAATTCTCTACTTGATTCAATTCGTTCGTTCACACGCATTTCCACTAGCAGCACGGCCCCCATCTCTGTTCAAGTCTGTCTTGTCACATATGGACCTTTTGCCTTCCGGCTCCATACCTACTATACTGCACCAGACCGGATCGATGATAGCTGGAGCCCATCGATCACGCCCCGCTACTTCCTACTTTGCCTTGTCTCTTTAGTCAAGCGATAGGTGGTTGATAGTCTCGATACGCGATCCCTCACTGTCCGTACAACACACGCCCCTCCCCGCTATGGGCAAACACACCACCAATTCTTCCTCGGCCTCCATCTCCTCCTCCAGCAAACAAAGCCTTAGCCGCAAGTCTTCAGCGTCCTCGTCCCTGGCACAGAGGGTTGGAGACAGGGTTGTTGGCGACTCCCCGACACTGCGCCAGGACGTTGCCCTTCAGCCCATAACATCCTCGTCCTCATCCTCCACCACCAGGTCCACTGTGACTGTCTCACCCTCACACCCAGTTCAAGACCAGGGCCATGTCTTGCCGTACCAGGCTACGGCCTCTGATATATTACCGCTCCCATTATTAACCCCAGCTGTTTCTGCTCCCCCACCAGTCCTTATTGACCATCAAAATGCAGCGCTGCAGTCTTCTGAACATACCAATACCGATGACAGTCTAGATGCTACTCCCCAACCATCAAACGCCGACTTAGACATGGCTTCCAAGAAGACACCCTTCTTGCGCTCTGCTGCTCGCTCCGACGCTGCCCCGTATGGCTCCGTATCGCTAACACCCAGTCGCAACAACTCGCCCGCCGGTAGTGATCGCTGGGATCCCGACTCGCACCAATTGCGTCATGTTACCGATACGATGCGCAGCGAGACCTCGCACCGCTCTGGGCTCAGCAAAAAGTCCTCCTCGAGATTATCAGAAGAAATCGATGGCGCCGTCCTTGTTTCCGGCCTTGAGGGCCGCATGGGTCTTGGTGAACCTACACATCCTGGTGTTCTTGAAGGCAGCTTGAAGGACGATCTGTCTGAGGATGGCGCGCTGCTGGATGACGATTCTTCCGCTGCTTCAGACGCCGAATACCAAGAAAACTCCCCCCACGAGGCTGTCCGCGCTTCTGTTCCGCCCACCGATAACACCACCCTTTCCATAAACACGCCGCGCATGTGGTGCCTCTCCGTCTTATTCGCCATCCTCGGCTCCTCGACCAATTTGTTCTTCTCGTTAAGATACCCTAGTGTTGCTATTACTCCAGTTATTGCTTTATTACTTGTCCACCCCCTTGGACACCTATGGGATTTCGTGTTGAAGCGACCCTACGACCCTGAAGAAGAGTTTGTCGATGGCGTGCGGGTAGCATCTGTGAGTGACGAAGCGCATAGTTTGCATAAAGTTAGAAAGCGTACCCGTGTGAGGAGATGGTTGGCGCAAGGTCGTTGGAACGAAAAGGAGCATACGTGCGTCTATGTTAGCAGCAATGTTGCTTTTGGCTTCGCTTTTGCGACCGATGTTATCGTTGAACAAACCCAGTTCTACAACCAGGAAGCCCCTATCGTTTATCAGCTTCTTCTCACTATATCGACGCAAATCCTCGGTTATGGCTTCGCAGGCTTGACGCGCCGTTTCCTTGTCCGACCCAGCGGCATGATTTGGCCTGGAACTCTCATGTCGGCAGCCATGTTTTCGACACTTCACAAACAGGAGAATAAGCCTGCAGGGGGCTGGACCATCAGCAGGTGGAAATTCTTTTATATTGTGTGGACAGTATCATTCCTCTTCTACTTTCTGCCTGGGCTACTCATGCCAGCGCTCAGCTACTTCAACGTTATCACCTGGTTTGCCCCCAAGAACGTTGTCATCGCAAACCTCTTCGGTGTTTCCTCCGGACTCGGGCTATTCCCGTTAACTTTTGACTGGGCGCAGGTTACATATGTTGGTTCACCGTTGCTGGTACCCTTTTGGGCTGCCATGAACGTGATCGGGGGTCTTGCTGTGGTGATGTGGATCATCGCACCTATCCTCTACTACAGTAACGTTCTCTTCTCCTCTTATATGCCGATTCTCTCGGCGGCTGTGTTCGATAATACTGGCAAGGTTTATGATGTCAGCAAGATCCTAACCCCCGAATTCCTCTTTGATCGTGAAGCGTATCAAAACTACAGCAGAGTCTTTTTGCCCATCACATATGTGTTGAGTTATGGAGTTCAGTTCGCCGGTCTATCCGCCCTTTTGACGCATACTGCTTGCTGGCACGGTCAAGATATTTGGAGGTCTTGGAAACGAGCCCTGCAAGAGGCTCGTGAGGATGGGCAAGCAAAGTACGAGCCCGTGGCAGACTCCCCTGGACCGCTGCCTCGCCAGTCAACCGACGAAAGTAGTAGGCGAATGTCATCTACATCGCATGTTGATGGAATCATTAGCCGTGAGGATATTCACAGCAAGCTCATGAAGAGATACAAGGATGCTCCCCTGAGCTGGTACCTCATCACATTTCTCACCATGACCGCTATCGGAATCTTTGTGGTTGAATAGTAGGCGCTCTTACTTGATTTTTCACGAGGTCTGGTTGCTAACCAAGTTAGTTATCCTGTCCACTTGCCTTGGTATGGTCTTCTGCTCGCCCTCGCCATTGGAGCACTCTTCTTCATCCCCAATGGCATCATCATGGCCGTCACGAACCAGCACAGTAGCATTTATCTCATCTGCCAGCTTATCTGTGGTGTCGTCTTCCCAGGCCGTCCCATCGCCAACATGGTCTTTGTCACATACGGTTATATCTCGTCAGCCCAAGGCATCAAATTCGCATCCGATCTCAAGCTCGGCCACTACATGAAGATTCCCCCGCGAATTCTCTTTCTAGTCCAAATCGTCGCAACCCTTGTCTCCTCCTTGACCCAGATCGGTGTGCTCAACTGGATGTTTGCCAACATCAGGGGTATCTGCACTTCTGAGGCGATAAACGGTTTCACATGTCCCATCGCCAGAGTTCACTTTAACGGCTCCATCTTGTGGGGAGTTGTCGGGCCCAACGAATTCTTTGGTCCAAAGGCAATTTATCGATCTCTGGTCTGGTTCTTTCCGCTTGGTGCACTACTCCCGATTCCTTTGTGGCTCTACAGCCGACGTCACCGCTCGAGCATCCTGCGCAAGGTCAACCTCCCCGTCATTTTTGGCGCTATGTCATGGATCCCCCCCGCTACAGGTCTCAACTTCTCTGTTTGGGTGCTCGTATGTTACGTCTTCAATTACTTGATCAAAAACCGACATAACGCTTGGTGGAGTAAGTATACCATGACCTTGAGCGCAGCTCTCGATTCGGGTCTTGCTTTTGGTATTGTGGTCGTTTTCTTTGGTTTTATATATCCTGGGTTTGCGCAAAATCTCAAGTGGTGGGGTACCGAGGTGTACAAGCAGGGTTGCGACTGGCAAGCTTGTTCATATAACACCGTTCCAGAGGGCGAGCATTTCGGACCTAAAACGTGGTAAAGCTCTGATATTGGAAGGCGTTACATATAGATCTAAATTTTTGTCTGGGAGTCACAATAATAGACCGCATGGATTATGGGCGTTATTAGGAAGTCGTGGTTTCTAAACAGCTGAGCGCTGAATAGCATTTGTAGACACTCAAGATGTGGGCAGTCTCAATTATTTCTACATAAATAAGCAGAGTGCCTTTACGATGGAAACGACTTCAAAATCGGGAACCCAGTTCTTCCGTCTATCGAATGTTCATTTCCGTCCCCTTCGTTGCGCTTACGGCAGATTACCATAGAATACAGTGTAATTAAGCATGTCCTTGTAACCGGCACCATGCTCCAAACAAGTCAAACCCGTCTATTTCTCAGCTTCCCATTCGGGGTTCTACACAAGTTAGTGTCCTGAAAAAAATGATGTAGGTGTTATTGAACTTACCTTCCGCAAGATCACCAAGCCCTCAAGGGTGCTGTTAAGGCTGATGTACTCCTCGTCTTCGAGTTCTGCACGCTCACCATATCCAAGCACCACTGGTGTGCTCTGAGTTTGCCATCCAGTAATAGTCTTGGGACGGCCAGCTTGGCCAACGACGTCAACGGCCTGACCAACGCGAACGTTGACCTTGAGGGGTTTGAGATTCTCGTCCAGGGTGACAAGGAAGCGGGGGTGCATAGCGGTGACGAGGAAGTAAAGTAGGTAGTGTGACTGGCCGGTAATAAACTCCTTGGGCTCAATCATAGCGACAAGGGTAGCAAGTAGGCCGGCAGCCGAGACGCGAGATAGAACCTGTCGGTCTGTGTGGAAGGGACTGATTGTCAGGGTGCCCTTACCCATGTGAAGGAGACCCTGAGCAATTCGCACCATGAACAGGGCGTCCTGGTCACGGTGGTAATAGCTGGCGAGTTGTCGTAGTAGCTGAGCTAGTCGGGCGTTATTTGTGCCAGCACCCAAAAGACCCATGGCAAAGATGGCATTGATAGCCACCTCGGGGTCGTTGTCGTGACTGTACCGAGATAGTGTATCGTAGACCTTCATTTGAGGGTTGCTAGGGCTAATGAGGCCCATGGCAAGAGGTACAGCTTTACGAATGTTGGCTTCACCGTAGTGCATAAGGTGACCAAACTGTCGCAGAACCATTTCCTGGCCAATATCCTCACCCATGGCCACAAGGGCGATACCGATGACGGCATATGCCTGCAATAGCTCGTCGCCCTTCTTCTCGTCAGTCTCCTCTTGGTGCTCATTGCAGATATGCAGGAGCTCCTGAATCTTGAGTACAGCACCTGTGCCAGCCCAGGCGCAGATCTCTGCCATCACGGCGGTAGACTTGGCCATAGGATGCTCAATGGCTTTAAGGGTTTCGAGAATGACATCAACCTCTTCTTGTCGGCCGAAGAAGAGAAGACCCAAGCCGAGGGCTAAGAACCGTGTCCACTTATCAGTCAGTTGGTTCTTACGGTCGTCGTCCATTAGGGTGGTGACAATGGCTTCGCTGATCTCGGGATGAGAGGATCCCGTAAAGATGAGGCCACAGGACAGAGCGGCCATCGCGGAGATCTGCATATCGTACGAAGAGTCCGAAATCATGGGCAGAAGGTGCTCAAGAATGTCCTCCCTATTCGATCCAGCATACGCCAGTCCTAGACCCATGATACAAGCTGTTCGGATGAGAGGATCAGGATGATGCAGTTTGTCACTATCGGCCAAGAGAGCAACGGCGGGGTCAGAGTCCATTCTCACGCCAGAATTCATAATTCCAATAGCGAGCATGGCACCGGCCGAGATCTCGGTTTCGGATGAGTAGGTGTACTTGTCGATCTTGTCAAGTCCGTTCTCAATATCCCACATCAAAAGGGTTCCCATGGAAGCGACAGTCGACATCATTCCATCGGCCTTGGTCTTCCACACCCATGTCTCCTTCTCGCCGTCAACAAGCATCATCTTATCATTTCCAAATCCTGCGTTGACGAAAGCATTGACAAATGCCGCTGCAAGATTATGTCGGGCAGAGTCCAAGTTGGTCATTCCCGCAACTCGGCTGCTCTCAAGATGGCTCTTGTAGATGTCCTCAGTAGACTTGGGCTCAAGGATGTTCAGCTCCTTGCCTAGTGCCTTGAAGTGCTCTGATAGCTTGATGTTACTGAGCGACTCCGAAATTGCGTCGCTCTCGTCCGAGTCATCTTCAATATCAAGAGCTATTCTTTGGCGACTAATAAGGAATGCAAGCTGCTTTTTGAGGGCAGGGTCTTCGGCTTTCTCGAAGTCGGCCCTAATAAGGTCGATGTCGTGCAGTCGAATTGCAAGAACAATGGCCTGCGCAAATTGCTTGTATTCCATGTAGATATCGTGCGCAGTCTTAAGGAAGGTCTCGTTGTCGGGGTAAGTGAGGAGGTTGACCATGGAGGACATGTACAGGCACACACGAGCGTATGTGTTTTCGTCCACAAATTTGGGCATCTCCTCGATAATTTCGAGCTCGCTCATGAGATCCACGGCGTCGGCCTCAGCGTTGCTCTTGAGGAAAAGAGGGATCAAGACAAGCGCAAGATCGATCAGGTCTTTGGTCTGTTCCTCGTTATTGATTCGCTTGATATACACCTCTCCAATCTCTAGGGCAAGATGTCTGGTATACTCATGGCCCCATGAGCTGATGTCGGATGTAGGGGCGAGAAGTCGGTAATGAAGTGTGTCTTGTCGATCCTCGTCTGAGAACGTCATGCCTATGACGGAGAGGACATCAGCCAGCGAGGTCTTGTCTTCACTCTGAGGCCATTGTTCGTAAAGCTTCGTCAAAGTCTCGTAGTGTGGTCGTAAGAATTTCAGGGGCTTTGGAACTGCTGTCATGGATGACGTCGATGTTTTTATCGAAGTCTTCATTGCTTCCAAGGCGGGCTTATAGAGTTCGGTGTTCGACTCCTGTACGAATGCTTAGAATGGTCCAGATCGCGAATCATGTCTAGTGACTTACAGTCAAGCGCTCGACCATCATGTCGAGCTCGTTCTTGAGTTGTTGATCTTCCTCATTGAGCTCTTCCTCAGCGGCTGGACCCTAGTCAGTACAACATTGCCTCGTGAAACGGGAGGATCCCATACTCTCGATCTTCTCATCTTCCTTCTTTCCAATTGATTGTTGCTTGTCCTTCTTGGCATCATCAACGGCCTTGCCCTTGCCCTTGCCGGCCGCCTTGGGCACTTCGCTGTCTTGAGCCATGTTGACGTCGACGGGTTGGGCGCTTGGTAGAGCTTTACTGAATAGATTGAAAGGGTAAAAAGAAGTCGGGATATAATGCTCTATACGTGGTTGAGCTGTATCGTCAGTGATCACAGCGCGGAAAATCAATTAGCGATGGAGTCGTGGTCGTCGTAGTTGGAAGGTGATGGAGGGCTGCTTGGCTAAGCTCAATGCTTTGCTGTAGGTAGCTCTGCTGGGTTACGCGAGGCGCTGCCGCCTGGCCCCAGCCTCATCACGTGCTTCCGCCCAGGGACCCACATGGCCATCCAGGTCAAAGCGGGAGTCAAGGTTCCATGTTAGCGATAAGATCTCAAAGAAAAATTAACCCCACCATCCGAAGAAACAACCCCTCCAACATCAACGAAGGGAAAAAAGTCGATTGAACAACAAAATCTCGTGGACAGAAAAGCAGAACATATCGGCCAAAAACGTACAGAAACTCTTCCATCATGAAATTAGACACAAAAGCCATGCGCTACCTCACCAACGAGGATTGGCGAGTTTTGACTGCTGTAAGTACACATCCTGGTTATCATGGTTGTAAAATTCACAAGACTTACACCAAACCTAGGCTGAGATGGGAAGCAAAAACCACGAACTCGTGCCCACGTCCTTGATCGAGAAACTTGCACGCCTCCGTGGCGGTGCTGGTAGTGTTCACAGAAGCATCTCATCCCTTGCAAAGGTTGGCCTTATTGCGCGTGTCAAGGAAGCAAAGTACGACGGTTACCGACTCACATATGGTGGTCTCGACTATCTCGCCCTCCACACCTATGCCAAGCGAAACGACGTCTACAGTGTAGGGGATCGGGTCGGTGTGGGCAAAGAAAGTGATATCATGATAGTGGCAGACCACACAGGCACGCAGCGAATTCTCAAAATCCATCGACTCGGCCGTATTTCTTTCCGATCCGTTAAATCGAACCGAGACTACCTCAAAAAGCGACAATCCGGATCATGGATGTATCTCTCCAGGCTAGCAGCCATGAAGGAATTTGCCTTCATGAAGGCTCTGCGCGAAGAGGGCTTTCCTGTCCCCGAACCTTTTGCACAATCTCGCCACACAATCGTCATGTCGCTAATAGACGCATTTCCTCTTCGACAGATCGCCGAAGTCCCTGACCCGGCATCACTGTATGGTGATCTAATTGCGCTCATACTGCGACTTGCCAAGCATGGATTGATTCATGGTGATTTCAACGAATTCAATATCTTGATCAAGGAGAACAGAACAAAATCGGAAGAAGGCGAGGAGACCCTGACACTAGAGCCCGTCGTGATCGATTTCCCTCAGATGGTTTCCATGGAACATCAAAACGCTGAAATGTATTTTGATCGAGACGTCAACTGTGTTAAACGCTTTTTCGAACGCAGATTCCACTTCGTGCCAACAGAGCCTGGTCCTTTCTTCAAACGCGCAAAGAAAGCAATGGCCAAGGAGGGCCTCAAAAGACTCGATGCCACAGTTGAAGCTTCTGGTTTCACAAAGAAGATGTTGAAGGATCTCGAGGCTGCTATTAAGGAAAAGGTGGATGAAACTGCTCAACAAAGCGAAGACGAGGATGATGAGGACGACGAAGATGAGGAGGGCGAGGATGAGGGTGAGCCGGAAGACTCTAAAGATGTCCAAACATCTGGTGGCCTGCTCGGTGATGATGTTATGAATTCTAAGGACGATCCCGTTGAAGAGAGCATGTCAAAATTGGCAGTTTAGATATGATATAATGATACCCACGTTTTACGAAATGCGCAGACAACTATTACCACACCTCAAGACGATCAGTTCATAGCATCACTGCCTCAGTAAAGAGTTGAAGGATTATGTGACATTAATGGAGATTTGCTCTAAACGCCTCCGTCTGATAGTGGCATCTGTGCCCCCAAATCTAAGCTACAAAAGCTCATGACATCGAATCATGGCATGAATTCGTCGAGTTTAACATCTACTTGTGCCATAAGATGTTCCAGGATTGCTCATGTCTCGATGTCCGAGCCAGACGCTCCAAAACCTGAAAGAAAAATGTGTGGGGGAAAAGGCACGAATGTAACCATGGTCAACCAGATAAAATCATTAGCAATGGTTGATAAGACCGAGGACTTAGGCATCCTTCTTGATTTCCTTCTTGATAGAAGGAGAAGCATCGAAAGTGGTACCGATGACAACGGTATCGGCGTGGACGGTCGTGTTCTCACCACACTCGGATGAGATAGGCGTGGCGACTGCTTCATCGGCGGGCAGGCTGAGGACCGTTCTGCTTTCAAGGTTAGATAAACCTCACAAAGTCACGACCTGACAACCTCGCTTCATACCCAGTGGATTGACGCTGGGGTCCCGCGCGTCGATTTACCTCGTTGGTATCGGAGGGAGTCAGTTCCGGAGACATAGGACTAGGAAAGCGTCAGTGTTGGTACGAAAACTAAATGCGTTCAAACTCACGGGCGAGTAATAGGAATCGCTGCTCGTCGGTTCTGTGCATGTTGGGGGAACATGGAGCCTCCATAGCCGACGAGAGGAGTACCGTAGGCCCCGATGTTGTACTCGTTGGTTCGAAACTGGCGGCGTTCGGCTGTGACACGCTTGAGTTCCTTCTGTGCTGGAGTGTCCGCGTATCGGATGTTGATGAGAAGACCTTCTTCGCCAACAGGCTGACCATGAAACTTCTCGACCACATCATCGCAGACTTCACGGTTCTCGAAACTGTGGCGTTGTTAGCAGGTTCCAAATCCCTGGTATTTTACCGACATACCGAGCGAAGCCAACACCACGGCTGTTGCCCATGCTGTCACGAAGGATTTTGCTAGACAAGATAGTGTAGCCCTGAAAGATAACGCCGAGTTCCTGGTACGGATTAGTGATCTTGTGATCAGTCGGTATACTTCAGTCGAACTTACCACTTCAGTTAAGGATTTGGGCAGGTTGGAGATGTAGAGGTTGGTTGAGAGTTCATCGCCCTCAGCCTTGAGACGAGAGTTGAAAGACTCCTTTTAACGTATTAGTTCCATCTTCATCATTGATCTGTGAGTGTGATAGTGAAGACAAACCCGAGCGAAACCAACTTCGTATCCAAGGTGATGAAATCCACGAATACACATCTCGGATTCAGAGACGTCGAAAAACTTGGCAAACCCGAATCTTTTCTCGATTAGCTTTTTTTATGTTCGGTTAATGCATGAAACTTACCCTTTGCAGGCACCGGTCGCAGTATCGATAATTGCCTTTGAAGTTTCGACAGTACCAAATCGAGCAGCGTAGTGGAACAGCAACTCATCATCGGTGGTAGGGTGAAGACCGCGAATGTAGACGTTGCGGTTGCCAGGGATGCGGTTCTCGAGACTCTGTTCAAGACTCTTCATATGACCTGCAGGCGTAAAAACCGCGGGCACTGCAGCAGGAATACAAGGGTTCTTTGCCAAGAGATCGTCCAGAAAACGCTCAGAGACTGGAGAAGGCTTTGGCTTGTTCGCAGCCTCAGCGTGATGGGCAACCATGAGCTGGTGAGGTGATGGTGTGGTGTAGGCTGATCGGTCACTGTGAACACGTGGACCATGCTCACGAGGAGGCCAGCTTCCGTAGAAGGGAGTAGCAGGAGCAGACTCTGTAGTCGAGTAAGAGCCACGACGGTTCTCCAGACCAGGAACCTCTGACTGGGTTCGGTCAGCACGAAGATTGCCTGTATTGGCGCGAGCTGGGGTGAAAGGCACAAGGGATCCGGGAAGGGCGTATGGCCCTGCGTAGCCTGCATTCATCTGATAGCCAGAATAGTTTGGCTCGTTGGGATGATTCATAGCCAAGGACTGAGCACCCTGCATGGGGGCAAGGATCATCCCGTCGGGGGCGACCATGTAAGGAGGTTGCATGGGAAGAGATGCAGCCTGAGGGGCAGACATGCTCATTCCAGCGAGGCTCAAACCATGGAATTGGCTCAACAGAGCGCTGTGGTCGGCAGACCCGGGAATAGCGAGATGCTGAGGTCGTCGATCGGAATGGTTGGAGAGAAAAGGCACCGCAGCCGTGTTCTGTTCCATGATCGTCGTTGAATGAAGATGTACGATTGAGATATCTAACATTCACATACTAGTCAGCGCTGATATGACGAGGGACGAAGATTACAGTTGTCAAGACCAATGAGATGCAACTCATCCAAGCGAAGTAGATCACATATGAGCAAAGGAGCTTTCTTACCTCACAAGCAACAGATCGGCTGCAAAGCAGTGCAAGATGCGAATAATCGGGGATGTGTGAAAATCTAGCTACATTCCGAGGTTGTCAGTTAAATGGTCGGGTCCACGATGTCAACATGGGAAGATAAAACGGTTAAGAGAGGGATATAGCGGTACTAATCAGAGCAAGCTTCTTGAACAGAATATGTGCGTCTTAAAAACATGCTAATATAGGGAACGATAAGAGCATGATGGGACAAGAGAGAAGACGCGATGCCGAGAAGCAGGAGACCAAACATACCTCAGGGGCCTAGTTGATGGTCAAGCACCTGATAAACAAAGCAGGCTGGAAGAAGCCGATGATGACGAACTCTGAGTACCAAGACTGAGATGAAGTGGAAGTAAGTAAGATAGTTCACGATACCGTGCAAGATGGGAACGAAGGAGATTCAAGGATCGGAGGTGATGTTGTGAGGAAGATGAAAAGGAAGAGAAGAGGGAGATGGTGAAGAAGATATAGATCCGCCACGGGCACCTACCTAGCTAAGAATTCACGTTAGAAAGTTGTCGGAAAGAAGCACTGCTGCAAGAGGAAGGATGTGGTTTTGGTGAATGGGCAGGAATGATGCTTGAATTGATGCCAAAAAGATGAATAACAGGTGTTGCGCAACCAAAAACGTTCTGACAATGAAGAATACTAATGAGAAAGTAAGATGGAAGAAGACAATAGAGTTTCTGTTTGTAATGAATAGGAACTGAAAACAATCGCCGGACAAAAACAGTCTGGAAGTGGCATCGATGCTCAGGGAAGGAAAGTCTGCAGCTGGCAGGAACTGACAAAAATTGGCAAGAGCTGCGAGATGCCCGGACCAACTGCCGCCGCAACAAAAGGGAAGGAGTTGTGGTTTGTTTCTTGCTATTGCCAGGCTTGAATTTAAAGAAGGAAAGCTCCTGAAAGCGACTATAGGCAAGTTCGCATCCCCCAACGACGATACTTCTTAGGGGATGGCAGTTCTGATGGGAAGATGGCCTCAAACCTACCTCTAGTACTGGGAACCACTAAAACTGAAGTGGCATTCAAAGTAATGTGGTAGATGGGAGCGTCAAGCCTTGCCCATACTATGATGTTAAGATATTACGATTTTTTCCAATACGATGGGAATAGCAAAACATGAGTTCTCGTGTTCTGGAATAAAATATAGCCCTTCCCTCTTGGTTACCTATCAGCATGCTTCATCTATGCTCATGCAAACTGCAATGGTTTATGTTCTATACGACTTCTTCTCCAGATGTATTCGGTATTGACAAAAGCTTACCAACCTCCTTCTCAATTTACATCCTTACTCTGTTCTAATGCAACGGGTTTACTACTACTTCAGTCGTCAGCCACTGCTTCGGTCGCCAGTCGAAGCAGATGCTTTTCGAAGCAAGAATTTTAGGAGTCTTAGTTACTCACAAATACATTTGCATTCATGACTACTGGGTGACAGAAACGATAGTCTCCTAGATACGGAGTACAAAAATAAACGACCTGAGACTGTGGTCTAAACAGCATGAAGTAACTGACTAATTTCGTCTCTGTGCCTCGAGCGGACAACTTTTCTAATACTCTGATGCATGGCTGCGTAACTTTCATATTCGTTGTTTCCGTTTGTATTAACTGATGCAAAGTATCTAGATGAGAGACATTGGAAAAGCCCAACTTCTATGATGTCGTGTTTATGGACGAGAACTCAAGATAACGAGCAACATATAAATAATGTAGCAAATTTTATATAATCTTGTGTATCAATCACCCGAACCACCAATTCCAAATACCACATAAAATCGATCTATAGAAGAAAAACTCTTGTTGTTCATACAGGCACAGGGTAAGCATTCTGGGTACCGCTCATAACGCGATATACCCACATTCACACACAGTTATCCTGCAAGCTCGAGCAGACTGCAGACGAAAATCGCCGTTGTACTATAAAAACTTGCTTCTATGCGTATCCGAACCTAAGCAGGTTGCAGGCGCGTTGACAACGTAAATGGGTAACTGACATTTTCTCAATATATGACATGCAATTACAACAGTGTAGATGCCACAAACCATTTATCGCATATATACCGGCCAATCCCAACCCACCCATTCTATAACCCGCAGGAAAGGTCCCAAGTCTACTCCGAGTACGTTCATCAAAAATTACCACCACTGTGTATAGATAGTAGTAGAGCAGAACGCCAGCCTTTGAAACCTGACAAGTCATTGCCACCAATAAACCCAAATGCAGCGTGCCGCTGAGCGTTTTCATGACCAAACATCCTCCTACGAGCCACTCGATCAGTACACGTTTTTCAATGAGATGTGGGAGAGGCGCCATGTGGCTACTACATACCTGATATTGGTTTGCCGATCTCATGTTCTTCACAATCTCCTCACCCTTAGCCTCAGACACTCCGCGTCCCTCGGCAATAATTTGCGCCAAGACAGTGTTGACCTCGCGAGCCATGTTTGCAGCATCACCACAAACATAAAAGTAGGCTTTCTGAGAGAGCAGGTCGCTGACCTCCTGTGCTCGCTCCTTGAGTCGGTGCTGAACGTAAACCTTCTTGGAGGTCTCTCGAGAAAAGGCGGTGATCATCTCGAACTTGTCGCCGAGAGCCTCCTTGTATTCCTGAAATTGGTCAGTTAAAGGCTTTAAAATTAGGCTAGTATCGATGACTTACCTGCCATTCCTTCTCGTACATAAAATCTTCACTGGGCTTTCGGCAACCGAAGAACAATAGAGTCTTTCCGACCTCAACGCCATCGCGGGCCAACTTGGCACGCTCCTGGACGAAACCACGGAAAGGAGCGACACCAGTACCAGGGCCAATCATAATGACAGGCTTGCCAGGATCCGAAGGTAGCTTGAAGTTGGAGTGACGAACATGAACGGGAACATGGATACCATCGTACTTGTTGCGGGGACCTGTAAGCTCATATGTCTGACCGAAAGGTGCTGGGTTGGGGTCGCCGTTCTGCTTCTGCTTCAGGGCAAAGAGGTAGTTTGTAGCGACACCACGGAAAGGGTCATCCCTGCCAGGGATTTGCTGGGACTCAACGACGGCAGTGATAGAGATCTTCTTAGGCTGAACCAGAGAGGAGGAAGAGATGGAGTAGTAACGGGGCTGGAGCTTGGTGAGACCCTCAATAAAGGCGGAGAAGGGAATTGTGGTCCACTTCTCACCCTTGCTGACACTGGAGAGGAAACGAGCGATGTTGTAGTAGTGAGGGCCGGTCTTCTCATGGAAGTAGTCCTTGTCGCTACCGAGACGGTTCATCTCAGCCTTGATAGCGTCGTTGGGAGCGAAAGCAGCGAGAGTAGAAACGAATTGACGGGAAACAGGAGCGCAGATCTCGAGATGGTATCGCAGAATGGCGTCATAAGTCGTAGGGTTAGGGAAGGGAACCTTGGCGGTAGGCTCAAGAGCCTTGACGGTAATGACGGTGTGCTGCTTGCCAGAGAGATCGAGAATATCTAAGAAACGGTTGACCTCCTCACCAGGGTTTGTGGGCCAGATAGCAATGTGATCACCAGTTTCGTATTTGAGGTTAGAACCGCTAATGTCGACTTCCATGTGAAGGCAGTTCCTGTCCTTGGCAGAGAAGAGCTCGTAAGACTCGGCAATGGGGGCAATGTAGGGGTTGTGAGAATTGAAGGGACCCTTGGCAGTGCCTTCAAGATGCAGCTTGTTGGGTTCACCGAGATAAACTTCATTGACTTCAGGGGTCAGGTCGTCACGCTCGTTGATGGCAAAGATAGGCTCGTAAACGGCCTCACGCTCTTCCAGTCCCATCTTCTTAGCAAGAGACTCCCACATGGGATCCTTCCAGGCCAAGAAGTCCTCTTCCATAGTACCAGCGCCATCATCACCTTCACCGGCTTCACCGATGCGGTGAGCACCAAGTTTCTCAAGAGCCTTGTTGACGTTGCGGACCATAGAGTTGTAGTGTTCATAGGTGTTGTTTCCGAGACCGAAAGCGACATAGTTGAGGTTGCCCAGAGGGGGGTCGTTGCCCTCGTTGAAGGTAGCGTCTTCACCAGAGATAAACTCGTAGAAATCGACTGCGTTGTCGGTAGGCTCGCCTTCACCGTAAGTTGCGAGAACGAACATGACAACGTTGTCGTTGGGAACAGTATCCAAGTTATCGAAATCATAGTCTTCAAGATCGGCGATCATGGTGTTGAGTCCGAATCGGCTCTTACCCTCCTTGGCGAGACGAGAAGCATAGTCTTCAGCGGTACCAGTCTGAGAACCATAGAAGATGACACAGTTCTTGCCAGATTCCTCCATAGCCTCAACGATGTTTCTCGTGCGACCAGGCTTGGCAGCGCCGCCGGCAGCGAAGCCATTGGCATAAGGGTCTTTGGTAACACCCCATAGCTTTCCCTTTGTGAAGTATGCGACCGTTCCGAGGAAAATGACGCCAAGGACGATCACGTCCAGAGTGTCTAGTTCAGCCATGATGGCGACTGGAGCGCTGGGACGAGTTTGTGATCAAATGTAGTGAGGTTCAAGCGCACAAACAATGAAGCCAGCAACGATGGAGAATCTACACAATTTCGACCGAGTTTCGTGGTTTTCTTCTCCCAATGGTTGTCGGCCGGAAAGGAGGCGGGGGGAAGAGGGACAGTGGGATGTGGCGCTGAGTGTCTAAAAAGAAGGATGTGCTGTCAGTAACAAATTCGCGCTAAAAAAGGCTTAGGAGATTAAATGCATGATCCCAGGATCCTCCATGGTGCGAGGCGAGTTTGTTGGCGGGACGGACTTACATCAAAGGATCAGCACTAATTACAAACTCTGGCCACTTGCTCGCAAACTTTCCTCGTTCAACACGTCGTCGAACAAAGCAAGTAACGGTAACAGAGCCCGTGCAGTAGATAAGTAGGTAGAAATAGGTTCAACGTTAGGCAGACCTTTCACTTAAGTGGACACTCCTTGAAAGTGAAAGGTGGCAGCTACTCGCTGCGGAATACCACGGTTGGCCTTATTATCTCGGTCGGAGGAATCGGATTGAACCCTTCCAAGCTGGAGGACCGTTCGCTTGGGACTCTGGAGCAGGGGTTCGGTAGGAGCCCGTGATTCGTAACTCCCCAAAGTATCACTCCTCAAAGGTTGTGAGTTTGCAAACAGAGGTACCTAGAGGATCCAACGTTAGAATTTCTAGGTACTTGATGTAGAGAGTCGTCAAGTTTAGAAAGAGAAAAAAAAAAACCCCCAGAAAAACAGAGAATCTACTACGAGACGAAAGAAATATGAAATTCGGGACTTGAGACAGAAATTCCGAATCCTATAATCCCATCCATGACAAGCGTACTTCTAGTACTATATCCAGATAGCGAGGCCGGGACCCCGGGCCAAGAAATGGCCGGCCTTATTATCATGAGATCTTGCGGCCGACGCCGGCGGGGTCCCGAAAACGAACACGGCCGCTTTACCACCATTTCCATGGAATTTCCGCCTTACCGTTACCGATTCCCGATCAGCTTTTCATCAACTCGGCCTCGGCATTCCGAGCAATGAATGACATGCCTCTGCTCTATTTGACCTCATTCCCCGCGTTTGCTTCCCGCTTCTAAGACCGACTAGCTCTTCTCCTCATATTCAAGTATCCCAAACTGTTTACCCCAATATCTCCGAGTGGTATTTTAGTCTACGTCTATTGGTTCCGCTGTGCGATTCCTTTGCGAAAACTATGTCCCGACCCTATCCGCGGCAATAATTGAAGTGCCGAACTCAAATGCCTTGTCCGCCTTATCTTCCTCAAACTCTATCTGACTCAGACGATAGGCCTACATCCTTTTGGAAGGTTCCCGAAGCCAAGGGAAACTATCTAGGTACGTATCTGAGTACGTGACTTTACGAATACACAAAACATTGGGGATTGTTTCTTTAAATGTGACTTCAAGTACTCCCACTGGTTTGATGCTCACCAAGAACAATACAAAGCCTTCACATTATCTGTCATAAGACACTCTATCGCCACCATTGAATTATGCGTGTGACAATAGCCAAAACCCTTTCTTTCAAAGAAAACGGTTGCTCTGGAATGCGGATATCGATCAGCCACACTACAACTCTGTCTTGCATAACTGTTGTCTTGAAGGAAAGCAGTGGCGTAGCAAAAGGCAACAAAGAACCATTCCTTTGTGTGTGAGACTGTGAGTATGTGTATAAGAGAACTCTGTGCTTGGCCATTACAACCAATGCATCTCAAATCACACCACTGACATGACTATTGCTCCCACAAAAATGATGTCTTGTGTCTAAACCAAGACCCGTACTCCTAGGAGCTTGGCTGTTCCCTTGCCTGCATGCGGATTTGACACCGCCTGTTCCTTTGCCTGCGAGATGAGCTATCATTGGACGCTGACTGTTTTATAGCAATGTTTAATTAAAACGTGGCCAGTTCTCAACTTACTTAGGTAGACATGCAGGAATACTTGGTGTTCTGCCTGCGAATAAATTGCTTGAGAACAAACTGTTGAGTACTATCTAGGGTAGCATCCCACGAGGGTTCGCTTGATAACCCTCTACACATGGAGTTTGATGTACGCCATGTTAACAGTAAAATAGTGAAGTGCATTGAGTTCACCTGAGTTTTACATCAAGCTAACTTTTGATGGGGGTCTTCTCAAAGTCTAATAGATCTGATCAGGCGGTTTCGTCACGAAAGATAGGGCTCCAAGAGCAACCTTATTCTCACACAATTTTACACCAAGCTAACAAGCGAAAGATGGTCTCGACGCTCCCAATGGCTCCATGTTAGAATATTTCATATTGGTACAATGATCAGCATAGGAAACAGATGCTACGTCGATTGAGCATCTGGGGCCTTTTGACCCTTGCTAGTTAATCCAATTGGGTAGACTCGCGTGTGTCCTAATATGAAGTGAACTTTGAGTTATGGTAAGAGTCAGACATCCAACCTCGACAAGTCATTCTCGTATTGATGTTCCACGGGTAAGTCTTGAACCCTTAGCCAAAGGATCACCCAGACAGATCCCCTTCTAGAAAGAAAAAAAAACCAAGAAAAAAAACCAATTGACAGCTGGAGGTGGCGCGATGGGTTTCCCAAGAGCCTGTCATCCCCTGTCGGTTGATCCCAGTTCCGCTAATAAGTTGCGGCCCTTGCAGATGTTGGCAAGGATGACTGCTAAAACACCGCGAATCGTCTGCCATATTAGCATATGTGCCATGTGTTAAAGCGCTTTGGGATCCTTCTGGCCCCATGGCACCCAGGCTCTTTAAGGGTTCGAACAAGCCATACAGCGGGCCGGGCCAATGCTTGGTGGGCAAGCTGACAGTAGCGTCATTGCGCGCCTGTAGTCAAGCCTCCAAAGCCAGTCGTCTATTATGGTCTTTGTTGTCCATCAAAAAGACTCCCTCGTATGCTGCACATGGCACAGTAGCATCCCTTGTCAACCTCAAACCCAACCCAACCCCCGTCCCGTAAATATCCAGCACTCTTCTCGTTCCTCTTTTCTTTCGTTCAGTTGCGACGCTGACTTTGAAACTGAAAAATCGCCATAGATCATGGGATTCCGATATAGAACTTGAGGATGGGTAAGTCCAAAGCTTTTGCAGGTCCACCCTTTGTACTTTACCTTACACCAACACCAACCAACCCCTCTCTTCCTGCACCACCTCTAAAATTCGGGCTGTATCGCGGGAATACCCTCGTCATCCGTCAGTGCAAGGGCTCGTCACAGCAGAGCTGTTCACCCGTAGCTGGCGCTGCTTAATAGCTGGCTCTCAGACCCTGTCCTCCCGCTTTAAACGTCTCCGCTCCCGTTTCACCAACATCTTCGAACATATCTGAACAAAGATACATAAATATCCATTGTTGATTAACCCCTTGTGTGACCCATAGTGCCGTCGCAGCCGCTGCCGGACCACCTGCAGGATACACTCAGGTACTCTCCCCGGCCTGTTCCTAGACTCGACGAGGAGGAAGAAGATGAGAGGAGTTGGAACCGAGCATTACGTCCTGTAGCTTCAGATTCGCCGGTCATCAATCGCTTTGGACACTCACGAGACTCCTCTGCCGACAAGATTCTCCAGACACATCAACCTGTAGCCTCTCCACGGCTTCACGGACCGCATTCGAGAAGCCCCATTGGCGGTGTCGTTGAACGAATTATCGACCCTAAAAGTGCAGCCTACGGCCATCATCGTCAAACTTCGATCGTACACGGTTATCAGCACTCAAGAAATGGAAGCTTGGCCTCGACCAGTTCCAGCCCGTTAAGCCCGCAGATGATCGCAGCCGCCGGCGTCGGCCTCGATCGTCCAGACATGCAATCGGTGGCCACCCGTATCGATGGCGACGCAGGCTACCCATCGCGGCCCCCTACATCACTCTCAGGAAATGTTGCGACCATGGAACGTCCTAATGCCGCCGATGCTCCCTACGGCCAGACCCAACGCAAGCTCGAACGAATACATAGTAAATCGCGGCGCGACCATACCCCTCATCACTCTCACTCGTCCCGTCACCATAAGGACGAACAAAAGACGGTTGGTGAATATGCGCTACATGTATTGTTCACCTCAGTAAGTGAAACTTTGATTTTGCCAATGCGCGCCGCAGCTGACTTGAAGTAGTTTATCGCACAAGCCGAAGAAAAGTTAACGGAATGTGTTACGGTTCCTCTCGATCCCGAGCCCAACGTCGAACAAATATGCGGACCAGGAGTTGACCCGGCCTTCGATCAACTGATTGTCGCTCTAGGCCACATTGCCAGCCCGAAACCAAAAGCGTTAATAGACTCCATGATGCTCTGGAGGAAAAGTAAAAGCGATGCCGCCAATGATGCCCGCAGTCATCTTCAGCAATCTCGGAATGCAGTGCCAGGAGGAGGACCTCTTCTTCGAAGGAATACAGAACCAGTGCAGGCTGGAATACCTGGCCAGGGAGGTCCTGATGCTGCTTTCCCAAACGGTCCACCCACTCTTGCAGCAAGACAAGAGTTTGTGGCACAAGCTGAGCGTCGGTCAACTGTGTCTATATACATACTCTGTCGTGTTCTTCTTGAAGTCATCAGCCAAAGCAATCTTGCTTCGATCACGCCCGAAATGGAGGACAAACTGGAGAACATTATCTTTGGGCAACTCAAAATTGCGGATACTGAACAATTGATGTTATCGCCCCTCAAGCTTGCCAATTGGAATCTCTTTGCTCAACTCCTGGGACATATGAGTGGCATCAATTTTGTTGGAGTTACCAAGAGGTTCATCGAAGACTTGGAAGGTTCTCTTCAGGCTCGAGAACGTGTGGTTAAGAGCCCAACAACATCTTCGCACCCTGGCCGAGATGTCGAGGGAAAGGTGGAGCTTGTGCTGGGAGGCATGAAGCATTTGAGGCTCAGGATCTCACCTGAAGAATCTTGGGAACAATGTTGTGATTTCCTCATCTCCCTTGGTCGCCTCTTTCAAAAGTCCCATGGACAAAAGATCAAGACAGCCTTTTGCCAGGTGATAGATATGCTTCTTCTTCCGATCGCAGCAAAGGCAAGCAATAGCCATTTTATGCATCCGAAATGGGCAGAAGTGGTCGCTGCTATCGGACCTCGCCTGGCCCAGATGTTCATGAAGCCTAGACATTGGAATTTTGCATTTCCTCTTACAGCCACACTGCTTTGTGTTTCCTCTCCCGACAACTTCGGTTCACAGTGGTTGCAACTGATACTACCTCTGCAGGCCAAGATCAAGGATCGAGCCACTAAGCCTCTCTGTCTCCAGGTCATCTCACGTTTGCTCTGGACATTCTTATATCGCACCAATGAGACTTTCCAAAGCAGCTTGCGCAAGATTGACGAGGTCATGAAACTGGTTTTGCCATCCTCCAAGCGAAGCTTAGTTGCCTCTGATACTGCTTGTACTGAGCCTTTAATCCAAATTATTCGAATTGTTGGCTTCAAGTACCCTGAATACTGTTTTAGGAACGTGGTGTTTCCTCTCATAAATGCCGAACTCTTTATTTCTAACAAAGAGCTGAAGGTTGAGCAACTGGATCCTGATAGAGTGGTAGTGGGTATCAGAGCCTTCCTTTACATCATGTCAGATCTGGAAAATGGCGAACAAGGACGGCCGCCATTTCCCCAATATTTCGGAACCCCCAGTCATAATTCGCTGCCTGATCGATTCCCCGTCTCTCCAGCTATGTCGTCTCCTCGCAACCTTCCTCTTTCTCAGCCAACAACGGCTTCTAAAGAAGAGTATATTTCCCGCCCCGTCTTGACACACGTTCTGAGTGATGGAGTCCGGGACTTTTACCTCAAATTTTGTGAAATCCTTGGGAAGATTACAATTATATGCGACAACACCTTTGGCGGACAAGCAGCGCTGGATGAAAAATTCAGCAGCCCCATGCCAAAAACACCCATTACTGAAACTTTCACCTTCTCCCGTAAAGATGATCACCAGAATGCCGCAGATCAGAAACAAGCGTTCTACGAACTTCTTCACGTGGCTGTTCAAGCATTGCCTCGGTGTCTTTCTGTCGACATTCCATTCAACTCTATAGTCAATTTGTTGTGTACTGGGACAGCACATGTGCAATATAACATTGCCGAATCGTCGGCCAATTCTTTGAAGGCTATCGCGAGGCAGTCTCATGCCCAACAGGTTACTATGGGCTTTGCCCGTTTTATATTTAATTTTGACGATCGGTACTCGACAATGTCCGACGGTGGCATGCTTGGTCATAGCCACATCGAAAACACATTGCGCTTATACGTGGAGCTGCTGCAGATATGGATTGAAGAAATCAGACAAAAGACCAGAGACGCCGCCACAGATGAACCGGAAGCCAAGGCGTCGGACAAAAGAGCCATAAAACTTGACCTTTCCAGCATATGGGCAGAGGTTGATCAAGCAGAAGCTCATGGGCTATTCTTCCTCTGTTCGCAATCACGCCGAGTTCGCCACTTTGCAGTCACAGTTTTGCGCTTGATTGTTGAGTTTGATAAGGCTCTTCGAAAGGAAGCGGCTGAGGATAAAGACTCCATACGACTCATAGACATCCTTGAGAATGAATCTAGCAAGGTTATGGATTTCAACGATGAACAGCTATCTGTCGCTGAACGAAGTCGATTACAACGAGGCCTGCAAAACACCAACAACCAGGGTCCCCTTGTTGAGCTTTGCGCCAGTGATGTCTCTTATGACACGACTCTATGGTTCAAAATCTTCCCTAAACTCATCCGGATGGCCTATGAGAAGTGCCCATTTACAGTTACTATATGCCGTGACCTTATCTGCAACCGCATTTTGCAAATGTATAAACCGATCGTATACCTCTCCGAACCTTCACGAGGTCTTTACTACAACAATGAGACAGGCAGTGCTCGACTTGGAGCAAGATCAGCAACAACTCAACCCGAGGTGATGGTGGAGCAATGGAAGCTGTACTTGATTTTTGCTTGCACTACGCTCGCAGATCCAGGTGCTTTGCCTACGCCGCAGGACCCCCAACATGTCCGAATGGCCTCCAAGGCATCCTCCAAAGATAAAATAGTGACAGCTCGGATGCTGTTCAAGTATCTAATCCCTTTGTTATCTGTCTCGTCCGCGTCTGTTCGGGATGCTGTCGTTGTTTCCATGGGCTCTATTAATATTCACATTTATCGGACTCTACTCGAGGAGCTGCAAGGCCAGGTCTCTCGATGCAATGACGAGGCGCGAGCTCGGATACACCAGCGGACGAATAGCAACCCCAGGAGGAACAGGAAGATGGATCTTCTTAGAACGGAAATCACGCACGTTTTCAAACTTACTTCACATTTCCTCAACGAGCCGGAGGTTTACAATAACGAGTTCTTCTTGACTACTCTCACTACATACACAAAGGATCTGAAGTTATTTCTCATGGATGGAGAAGTCCAGATGGACTGGGAATTCCAAAAGCTCCGGCGCCACTACTGTGGTCTTATGGAAGCACTTTTTGAAGGTATCAACAGAACGAAAGACCCATCCCGATGGATGACTTTTGAGTCTCGGAAGTCGGCCTTTTCGCTTATGGAAGATTGGTGCGGATTTTCACCGAATCAAAACCAGATCCGCGTCCGTGAAGATACTATGCGCCAGTCGCTGATCGATCAGCAGACGTTGGGAGAGAGGGGAACTGCCACTGCTGCAATGGAGATAGAAAAGAGGAATCTTCGCACTGCAGCCCTCAGTGCCATGGCCGCTTTATGTGGTGGACCGATTAGCGTCACAACGGAAAGTAATGTCGTTCTCCAGTTCGATGTTCGACGCATGCTTGCTTGGATTGATTCGATTTTCAACTCTGGGAGCGACAAGATGAATGTCATTGGTAGAAGGGCTTTGCATAATTTGATTGTCCACAACCGAGAGGTTCCCTACTTGATGGAGCACTGCATTATGCGATGCTACTTGGCAGAGGTCCCCAAGGTGCTTGAAAGTTATTTCACTGTGGTCACACAAGTTTTGCAAAATCACATCGACTACCCTTGTCCCTTCTGGAAGCTACTTGGCCTCTGCCTTTTCACTCTGGGCAACGATCAAAGCGAGATTCGGTCCAAGTCTGCAGTTGTTCTACGCAGCTTGGAAGTACGGCAGCAGAGAAACTCCAAGATCCAGGATTTCGACATCAGCATTTCCGACAAAACGCAGGCTGTATACAAGTTAGCACAATTTGAGATCTCCACCCGTCTTGCCAAACAGCATACCGAGTTAGCATTTCATATCTTCTCTGAATTCACACTGTACTTCAAAGACCTTCAGGCCGCAGCTCAGCGAAACGTCGTTGCAGTCATGTTGCCTTGGATTCAGTCTATAGAGTTAAACCTGGATCCGAGTGGTGGACCCGCAGCACCCTCTTTTGTGCTTCTCGCAAACCTCCTTGAGATCACTATCAAATCCAGCGGTGCACTACACAATGAGGTGCAGGCTCTTTGGCAAGCTCTTGCAACAGGACCTTATCCAGGAAATGTCCGCTTGGCTCTCGAATTCATCATGCAGCTGTGTCTTGAGCGCCGAGAGCAAAATTTTGTCGAGTACGCTAAGCAGATCGTTGTGTTTCTTTCAACAACGAACAGCACGCCTGGCATCAAGGTTGTTGAGTTCCTCCTTATGCAAATAACCCCAAAAGCAATGGTACCGAACGAAAAGCGAAATGCAGTCGAGCCACCTGCTGATATTAATCTTTTGCCTTACTGTGCTGATCTCGCCGAGGCTCTTCCCGTTGGAACTAAGCAAGCTGGGTTTTCTCTCGGCCAACTATCCCTCATTCTCCTTGTCGACTTGATGGTGTCCCCAGTCCATCTCACCCAGGAAAACGTTCCGCTCCTTCTTCAAATTGTCACTGTTCTTTGGGATCATTACACGCCGCTGGTTCAGGAGCAAGCGCGAGAGATGCTTGTACATCTCATCCACGAAGTAGTAATCTCCCAGATTGATGATCAGACACAAGACGTTGACAAGAAGGCTATCGAGGATCTGATAGATTTAGTTCGTCGGCACGATCGATCTGTCGTTTGGGGGTACGAGGATAGCAATGGCAAGGTAGATGATCACGATAGCAAAGTGCCACCAAGCATGGAATTCCTTACGGCAGAGGTTATCAAGACTTTTGAGATTACATTTCCAGGCATCAAGGAACATTGGGGAAGACTGTCATTAACATGGGCCACGTCTTGTCCAGTTCGACATCTCGCTTGTCGGTCATTCCAGATTTTCAGATGTGTTCTTACATCTGTGGACCAGGCCATGCTTGGAGACATGCTTGCCCGACTGTCCAATACGATTGCGGATGAGGACCCGGAAATTCAATCTTTCTCGATGGAAATTCTGATAACTCTGAAGACTATTATTGTTAAGCTGGAAGCTGACGACCTTCTCAGCTTTCCGCAATTGTTCTGGACTACCTGTGCTTGTCTAGAGTCAATCAACGAGAGGGAATTTTTAGAAGCAGTTGAGATGCTTAACAAATTCATCAGCAAGCTAGATCTGAGTTCGCCTAACGTGCGCCGGATACTTGCTGACGGGCAGCCATCTCGTTGGGAGGGAATATTCGAAGGCGTTCAGCCTCTTCTCCACAAAGGCCTCAGGTCGTCGCTTTGCTGGCAACCCACTCTCGACACGATAGACAAGTTGGTTCTTCTGCCCAGTGACGGGTTAGTTGGCGATGATAGACGTCTGTTCTTTTCGCTACTTGCCAATTTCCCGCGCTTTCTTAACGAATTGGAGAAACCTGCTCCAGACGAGAGTGTTGTGCACACAGCGAGACTGCTCCAGGAGGAAGCAGACAATCAGGGGTTGGCTGGTATTGCTGAGGCCCTGGAAGGGTTTGCTTTGGGCGATCCCCAAGATAGTAGCAAGGACTTCCTCGTCGAGTTATGGGGAGCTTTGCGAGAGTACTATCTCCCTCAGATGGATTTCCAGATGGTAACCTTTTTGCTTGGCCTTCTCACCAACTCCCTATCATGGGTTAAGATCCAAACAATGAGAATCCTCTGTGTGGCGATCCCCGAAGTGGACATGCGTAAACCGGAACTTGCTGGACACGGGTCTGACCTAATCTCGCCTCTACTTCGACTGTTGCAGACAGAATTTTGTATGGAGGCCCTTGAAGTATTGGACAACATCATGACAATGTCTGGCAACCATATGGACAAGCATCACTTAAGAATGAGTATGACGCGGCCGACGTCAAAGGCGATTCGGAAAGAATATGAACGCACGCAGAGTCTATTTGGAATTCCCGAAGCGTCTGGATGGGCTATTCCTATACCTGCAAAGAAGACTGATGCTACGCGAGCCAATATCCACGCCGCATTTTACACCTGCCAGGGCTCAGAAGGCATGTTGACAGAAACTGCGCCTACGCCGGATGTAGAGTTTCATGCCGACGACTTCCCGTACAATTACTTTGGTGCACCCGAGCGAACCGAAACCATGCTGTCTGACGAGGGACGTGGCGATGTTCACGCAGCAGATCTGGCAACTAAGCTGGACAGTCTTGACGACTTCTTTGACGAGCCGTCAAGCCCCACGACTGATGATGATGGCCGATCATCACGAACAATAACTGAATACACCCCGGAGTCGTTTGAGACCGGAGCAGAGCTATATGATGAGCAGACCCTGCCTATTCTTCATGAAGCTTCGAACAATGCATCTTTCCAAAATGGCTTCGCAGACCGATCTCCAGGGCTTTCGAGAGAGGCGAGCTCGAACACCATGACACCAGGTGCCTTCAGCGTGGTTGTTCCCGTGGCGCGACCGGGCCTGCATTCTAGATCCATCACATCCCCCTCTGCGCCAGCCTCTTACCAACCACAAATGGGCGACATTGTCTCTGATGACGAGTACCTGGGAGGCTACTCAGATGCCGACGATGAGCGACCTGGTACGGGGCATACTGAGAGTGCTTTCTATTTGGAGAACATGATCAAGCCTGTCACTCGAAGACCACAGTCGAGGATAAGACGCCAGCCAAGCGTTCGTTCACGAGATGAGAGAAGTCGAGAAAAGCCACCGCCCCGCTCGGCATCACGACTGGCAAACAACGTATTCCCTCCTGGGATGCAAGAGCATGCGGAAGGCGACATGCTATGATTATTTGGAGAAAGGAAGTTGGCTTAATAGCCATGCTTTTCTATATAAACGTCAGAAATGTTGTATAATGAGTAGAACAAGTGCTGCATTGGAGTCGGGGAATCTACGTGTAATTTAGCCCAGGAACTGGACAGGTCACTGCCATTATGGTATAAAAGCGATTTAATCAAAGCAAATGAATATATTCAAAAGCTCTACGAAACAAAGTCTTGTTATCATCTCCTATCGAATTTGGAAGTAGCAGTGTACCTTAGTTCTGCCTTCGGATTTAAGGATATGCCGTTTTAGTGCATATGAACTTACTTGGGAAATGCAAATCACATCTCGACCTGCCTACTGTCTGTAGCTAAGGAAAAAACATTTCAAGTAATCCTCATGGAATAATGTCTGTTTTGTTCCGAGGCCTAAAAAATGCCTCGAGACATGCTGTCCAGCCATCAAAACTGACCGGCGCAATAGTTGGCTTAAGGCTCATCAGCAAGACCAGAAGCAAACCCTCCAAACCTTCACAGCTGATATATCCGGAGGCGACCAACAAAGAACATTCTGATCTCGCGACATTTCTATTATATGCTGAACGTACAAGCCTGAACAAAAACTCTACTGTGTATCGGGGCACACACTACGAATACACAGTCGCCGACACACTCTCACAGTATGGCTTCCTCCTCAAGCGCGTTGGGGGCCATTCGGATCGAGGCCTGGATCTCCTAGGCATATGGACACTGCCTTCAACACCACAGACGTCGAAGGTGATAATCCAGTGCAAAGCAGGTGCTCGGAGCCCAAGCCCCATGTACATCCGTGAGCTCAAGGGCGCTATGGCGGTAGCTCCTCCAGGGTGGCGAGGTACCGACGTTCTGGGGCTACTAGTTGGTGAGAAGCCGGCCACGAAAGGTGTACAGAAAGAGATGCACTCTGCAGATGTGGCTCTGGGGTATGTATGCTGCACAAAGGAGGGCGAACTGGCGCAGCTGCTGTGGAATTTGAAAGCTCAGGAAATGGGGCTGGACGGGCTGTCGGTTGGCGTTAAGTATGGGGGGAACAAGAGCCAGCTTGTGTTGATCCGAGGCGGCGAGATGCTGCCTCTGTTGGATAAGGTGGAAATCCAGAAGGACAACGTCGTGGATGTATCTGTTATTGAAGCTGAAGGGGGAGCAGTCTGATACCACATGAGGTTGAAAGACTTTATGACTACCCGCAGGGTTTGTATGTCCAATGGATAACTTGTACCACTATTGTAACGAGTATTTCATCAACACACAATCATAGATAATTGAGGTCGACGCTATCATCAGGGTATTAGAAGTTGGCCGCCAGGAGCATAAGAGACTAAATTGCTAGGCCACTTTATGCTACTTAGGTAATACTTCTTAGGCTATTTATTTTTGTCATCTAAACTTAAAGGTCAATTCTTCTGCTACACACTACTATGTGGTTAATATTGGTTAAATGTCAAAAGCTACAATGGCAGCACACGTCGACCAGCCAGTATTGGGGAGCACTATCCAAATCAATGTATTATGTACGAGAACGCTCTAGAATTACGTGATGATGAATGATCCATTTCTTCATAGATATTCCTCCTGTATGTGCAGGCAGGTCGCATAGAACCTGGCACTGATCCGGTGCTTGATGGAAATATTAGACCAACTTTAGTGAGTACATAGCCTAAGAAAGCGCGTATTCTCGTCTGGTGTTTTTCCTGTCGCGGTCTTTCCTTGGTTAACGGCCTTAATTCTTCTTGTTGGGTCGTTTTGCACGTTCACATGCCGACCTTTGCGATGGCCTTCTTCACTCCCTCGGCGATCTCCTTGAGGAGAAGAGCAGAGCTCTTGTCCGGGATCTCAGCTCCGATATCCTGACCGAACGTGAATGCGTCGTCGAAGCTAAATTCTCCGATGATAACATCTGTCTCCGGGAGGTTCTGGTTTGGCTTCGTCTCCTTGAAAGTTCCATACGTTTCCTCCTCGCCCTGGTGATACGCACCGCAAAACTCTTGCTTGATGGGCTTTCCAGAATCCAAGCGGCATTTCCACTAGCCGCCGCTTGTCTGATGGTGAGGTCTAGTCCAGTGAGGGCTGGTATCGTCCCAATTCCTGTCCCACTTGTTGGGCTTGGTCTCTTTGAGCATATGTGACTCGAGCTTCCAGATGGTAGTGAGAAGTTCCTTGTACTGCTTCTCGTCGCTGGCGCTCTTGTCGATGGAAACGATGTCAGAGTCAACGAATTCAGAAAGCCACTTGGGGACCTGAACCGCGACAGGGGTTTCGTATATGTAGTTGTGCTCAGGAGCCGTAGAGGTCTTGGGCAGCATGTAAGGGAAATTGTTATCCTTATAGATAGGTTCGTCTGATCTGTGCAACTTGGTCGGCATCTTATTATCGATTGGCTTCGAAGGGAAGCGGGACTTGAGTTGCCCAGAAAGAGCCGATTCGAAGGCCTTTTTCTTGGCGAATTTCTCTTCATCATTCAGCCAGTTGGAGGCAGGGCATGGGTTGGCAGACTGGCCCTCCAGCCACTGGTCATAGATCGAAGGCTTGAGAGGAGCTTTTGGGAAGAAGGAACCAAGACCCCCGGCTTCTCGCAAGATAGCCACTTGCTCTTCAGTGGGTGGGAGGTGAGCAGTGTCCTTATTGTAAGTAAACTCGCCAGCAATCATACCCTCAATGTTGCCATCGCAGATTGCAATCTTGCGCGTCAAGGCAGACATGTTGACCTTTTCGTCGTAGATTTTCTTCTGGGCTTTGGGGCCAAGTACGGGAAACTTGATAGGTTCGTTGGCTCTGTTGAAGCTGTACAACTTGATAGCGTCATTCTCGGCCTTCGCACGACGGGCTATGACGACCCTCTCCATAAGCTCGTCATGGTCATGTTGTTTATCGGCAAGATGAGCGGCGTACTCATTGCGGATGGTGCCCTGAAGACAAAGAGGTTGCACGAAGTTGGCTTTATTGCGTTGTTTGAATCGTTCGAGGGGACCCTCAGGATCAATTTCGTTGGCTAAGAACTTCGGAGTGAAGCTAAACTCTTCATCCACGGAAAAATCCTCATTTGCAGGGGGAGGGTAGCGGGCCCAAGTTTGTCGCATAGCATGAGGGAGGGTGTTGGGTGGGAGCATCAAGTCGTCGTCGACTTTGATGGCAGCCGGCCTGGCATAGCCATCCGGAGTAGCATACCTGACCTGCTTGTATTGTCTAGGAATAATCTTCACTGGGTGTTTGGCCCCTGACACCAGATCCCATTTGAGAATGGGCTTAGGAGGATCAATAGGAGGAGTATGTTCGTCAACTGAAGATACAGCAACCGAGTTGGAATTGCAGAGGTAGTCCTTCAGCCTCTGTCGAGTTCTAGGAGTGAAGGGCTTTCCATCACTGCCTGGAGAAGAGAATCCAGAGCTCTCAAGATTTTCTACTTGTTCGGTTTGGAAAGTGTTCAGTTGGCAGGGCTTCTCCACGAGGAGAGAAAGGGGAGGTTGCGTGCATGAAGCCGAAGAAGTAATCGAAGCCATGGCGGAGGCCGATATTGTGCTGTAGATTTCTTGATTCTCGCTTTCTGGTGAAATTCCCGCAAGAAGGGAGATTTAATGAGTAGAGATTGAGAAAAATTTGAGTGCGCGAGGAGAAAGCACGATATTGCTTTCATGCGTGCGAGTGAACTGAACCGAACGGCTGCCCAGCACTGCCAGTCACTGACACTCACTCACTCATTCACTCACTAGGCTCGCGCCAAGTAAATATCAATCTATCTTGGAGACGGTATTCAAACAATGGAAAATAGAATAAATCTTGATTACGTTATGAATACTGCCACGGACTATTATGTTTGGGGAGTCAATGGTAATATTGTTGCCCCCCTGGTAGAGTTTGGAGGAGAGTTTATCAGGAATAAACTCGGCCACTACTAGCAATAATAATCAATAAAGGTACAGAGAATCTTAATCAGACAAGTTTGAGATTTGAATTGTATTGTAATGCAGATAAAGATAAGTCTTCCGTCTCAACTTATCAGTGTTAGAGTTCCCAAAACCCTCAGGGTATCAGAAAAGTTGGTCGCTCAAGGTATAAGAAACAAAATAGTAGGTCGGTCCATGCCATTTAGACCATGATTTTTGTTCTCCTATTTTTGTACTCCAAATCTTAGAGGTTATTGTTTCTGAAGTCCGTCAAATCATTCTTATGAGCTGACGAGTCCTCCATAGTGCAATTCTCCCCTCAGTGAATCATAAGACGAGGGACAGATCTCGATGTTTTTTGCATGTAAGGAACAAAACTTCTTTTTAAACCGTTTTCTGCCTCGGCCACGGGTCCAGAGTGCACACAAGAATTTCTGTGACAGTTGCATATTCGGAGGAAACCGGCCCATTTGATCAGACTCGTGGTTCGGGTTGTTTTGTAACGTTGAATTGTTAAACATTGTGTTATATGAGAGTTTCTAGAAGCCTTCAATGAGCGCTTGCTATACACTGGTGTATTCAAAAGATCCCTGGCCAGACGCCCCTTCGTATCTATTTTCCGTGTTATACATGTTGTCACAAAGAGCCAGACACCGCGGCATGTGGCTCCTTGGTCAAGATGCCACAGGTCCTACGGTTACATGCTCTCGGAGCCGTTTAGCCTCTGCTGCTTTGTTCTGCTTATCCTGTTTTCTCTGTCGTGCCTCTATCCTTGCAAACTGGCCACGCGCGCCGTGCTTGAGCTTTGTGATCATATCTGCAGCCTTGCCTTTGTTCAAGTCTTCAAGTTTCAAAGGCTCTGCCTTGCCGCGCATTCTGTTGATGAAGTCGACCTGTCCTTGTGTAGGTGGCAGTGACCGCCAACGCTGGTAACGGTGAATGAAGTTGTGGGGGAACATTTTGGCTGCGAAACTGTCCGCTCCGTGCACTGCATCGGTGAACGTAGTTGCAGTGAGAATCTCCTTTGGCATTGCGTATGGTGTTTTAGCAACACCGCTTGGTAGCGCTCGCACCTCCACTGCTCGGTAGACAGGTGCCGAATTGTTGGACCTTTCACTCACTCTTTCTATGCGAACGTAGGAACCATCTGGTGCGGAGAGAATAAACTTGTCTCCTTGCACTTGAACCCAGGCGTATTTACTGATGGCACGAATGTGCTTTTCGCCAGATGTATCGGCGATGAGGTCCAGGACTGAGTCATAGTCTGTGAATGTGACACTGCCAGATCCGGGTCCGGGAGTTGTATGGTACGACAAAGGCTGTCCGTTAATGTCTTGACCCGTCTCCTTGATCTTGCGCAGGCCGTTCACTGTTGCCCTCTCCACCAGAACATTTGGATCAAGGCCAAATAATGTCGGCGTAGTCACGATTCCAGTGTCCAAACTTGAGACTAGATCAATGATATGGCAGTTTTTCTTCCCTGGATGTAGTCTCATTCCTCTGCCGATCATCTGAACAAGGAGGTTGCGAGATCTTGTCGGCCTACCAAGAACGATGCAGTCAATGTTGGGAATGTCGGTTCCTTCAGTGAAGACACCACAGTTGACTAATACTGGAAACTCGCCCTTTCGAAAAGAATCCAATGTCTTAGCCCTTTGAACCTTTGGTGTTTCTCCTGTCACGTATCTTGCGTCGAAGCCATGCTGTCGAAAGCGATCTGTTAGCTCAACAACGTGAGCGACATCAACACAGAACACCAGAGTTGAGTTCCTTCCTTGAGCCTTTGCCATCCAACTGCGCACTGTAATATCATTGGTCTCGCTAGTGTTGACTGCCTTTGAGAGTTCTCCGGGAAGATAGTCACCAAAAGCGCCCTTGCTGACTTCTGATAGGTTTACTTTGGACTCGACGGTGGTAAAAATGACATCTGATAGCCACTTTTTCGTAATCATGTCTATGTAGTCTTTGTGGTAGACGATCTCATCGATGGCCGCACCAAGCTTGACTCCGTCGAAACGCGAAAACGTAGCAGATACACCGACCAGATTTGGGGACTCTGGCCGCTTCTGGTCGAGTCCAAAGTAGCGTAGGGTCTTGAGGTAACCTGGAGAGACGATGTGATGAGCTTCGTCCACCAGTAAAAGCTTGAAACGAGACGGGTCGAACTTTTTAAGACGACCTTGTGACGTTATACTTTGTACGCTGGCGACAGTGATATCTGCGGTTCCCGTTGCGTGGACATTTCCCATCTCAATCTCGATCTTTTTATCAGGATACTGGCGCTGACAATGGTTCGCTGCTTGCTCCACAAGCTCGCGACGATGAGCCAAGATCAATGTCTGCCGCGCATTCTCGTTTGATGGAATTCTCTCAATCAGTTGAGTGAAAATGACCTTTTTGGAAGGTTAATCAATTGATGGTTAACTCGAAAAGAAAAGACTACCTACTGTTTTCCCACTTCCAGTAGCGAGGGACACGCCAACTCTTTTTTGCCCATTTTCCAAAGAAGTTAAAACCGATTCGATACATTCTTCCTGATAATCTCGGAGCTGTAATTTAGGCGGTTCATGAGCAACAGTTGAAGCTGCAACTGAAGCGAATGTCTGAAATGTCTGTGGCCTAATCACGAAGGGAGATTTCACAGCTTTGAGCCCAAAAGTGTATCTCGGTACGAGTCGAAACATTGCACATGATGAGGAGTGCGACGAGAACAAGTTTTGTCTCATTGGGTTGTAGTGAAGATACTTCGTGCATCATTGTATATGCCTACAAAGTTGAACATTACGGTAAAAAATATATATATTATGTAAGCACACTACACTAACATTCAGTACTTGCTCCAGTGTCTACAGAAGAATCTCCTACAATGAATAAAATTTCACTGAAACTATAAACCATGATTTGACAGACGCTATTCACTTTTTCTGCCTAATTTCTTGAGATTTTGGTAACTGCTTCTTCACTTGTTCATCTCCACTCCCAAGCCGGAGTGCTTCTCTAATAGTCCTCTGTTACCATGTTTTCATCTTTTCATAAGTCACTAGATTTCATCAACAAAGCAGCATGGAGTCAGAAACCAACCGCGAGTTTCTCGAGGAGGATCTCAGCGAGACAGAGCAAATCAAAGACTTGGAAGTGAAAGATAGAATTCCCTTGCCGTTCATTCACGAAGATTACGCTACCAATGGCACTGATGTGTCTGGTAGTGTGTATACCGACAGCGAAGATGAATTCGATCAAGATAACGGACAGTACTCGCTCAAAAGGCCAGCTGAAGATGACTTGATACCTCGACAATTCAAGAGACAAAAGGGAGTGCTCAACACCGACTACCTGGATCTTCTCAATGGGGACATCGAAGATGCAGCACAACGTGTTTGCTTCACCCATGACGACGAGGAGACCGCCTTGTACCCAACCCAAATAGGTCTCACCTACTGGTCATTACCAGAAAAGAAGCTGTTTTTTGAAGCCATTGCCCGCCTAGGCCTAACCGACCTTAAAGGCGTTGCATCCCGTATAGGAACAAAGAGTGAGATCGAGGTAAATCATTACCTTGATGTGCTCCGAAGAGCTCGGCTTCTTAGACAGCGCGAGGTCAGACGTCCAGCAATAGAGTTCTCAGAAATACCCGCTGCTGTTGAGTTAAGTCAGCAATGCTGCCATGCACTGGACGAAGCCGCGGATGCTATCTCTGTACGCCAGGAAAGAAAAGAAGAATTACGAGAAGAGGGCAAATGGGGACAGTGCTGGGAAATCACACCCAAGATCGCACATCGACTCGACAAGGGTGAAAGCATCAATGGGAGCCAAGATCCTCAATTCAAGGGGCTGTTCAACCTCCACACCTGGTTGAGGCTTTCAGAACGTGTGTTTATGAACTCGTCTATTCCTAGTGAGAACTGGCAACATATTAACGACAGGCCTCCATCGATGTGGGCTACGACATTCGAGGATTTTCACTCATTGGCTGTTTCTATAACGAAGCGACTCATCCAAACGACTCTTTTCATTAGCATGTCAAGAATCAGAGCCAAAAGGGAACTTCATCCCCACACCCGCGATATCGTCAGAGCCCAAGACGTGCAAGCAGCCATCGCCTCGTTAGGAATGAAGTCAGATTCGCGCCAGTTTTGGAGTAAATGTGCACGACGACTACGACTGGAAGTACAAGAAGAGCCGCCCAGTAAGGACGAAGAAGGCGAAGGTGAACCTCTCAGCTACGAAGAAATCGAGGATCTTTTATCACAAACTGACGAAGATGTCAAACCAATCATCAAAACCGAGTTCGATGACGATGTCGAGCTTTCTGAGCCAGAAGCTTTAAGCTCCGATTTTGAAGATCCACCATTTCTATCCGACGAAGAAGATGCTGCCGTCAACAGAGAAGCAAACGAAGTGCTGCAGTTTTCGGCCGCCGACTTTCCAGAAACGTACCGCAAAAAAGAGGTTCTGAAGAATCGCATCACCACAGAACGCCGGCAGGAGAAATACGCCGAAGAGCGCGACCAGTACGCAAACTGGCAGGCTGAGAACGAGATGTGGGATCTGCTGCAGAAAAAGCCACCTATTGAACTGCCTAAAGTACCCGAACCAGGTCCCCTGCAGCGATCGACTATGGATGTGGAGGGTATCTTTCCTATAGGAAGGGATTGGAGGACCAAAATAAAGTATCGCAGCGAGTGGGAGCAGTTATAAAGATGGTAGCCATGGATTTATACAGAAGTATTGCCATTGATAGGGTATTAATGAAGCTCGGTAGGGGGTTGGATATGTTCAACACAAAAAATGCATATAGCTTTCATGTGAAGGGCATCCGAAACATTATAACCGTCTTCCTATCATATTCCCGCCAGTACTGCCGTTCAACGTCTCCTTTTTGGTCTCGCCTTTGCTTTCGTAGTCACGGCCTTCTGGCCCTTTTTGGCGCCACGAGTTGACTTGGAAACTTGTGTTCCGCTCTCTTCAGCACTTTCCTCCTCACCATTAGAAGATGAACCGTCACTTTCCTCCTCCTCTTCTTCCTCGGAGTCATCGTCATCTTCCTCCTCCTCTGTAGTTTCAGCCTTTTCTTGCTTTTCAGCCTTGGCTGGCGTGGCCTTCTTCTTCTGCCGCGAGGAGCCTCGCTTCGACTTGGGCGCCGGTGAAGGGGCGTCCGTACCTTCCTCAGTATCCTCAACTGACGCGCCTCGGGTCTTGGTCTCGCCTCGTTTGCGTTTTTTGGCCGGGGATGGTGGCGGTGGTGATAGATCCAGCTGTGCAGGTGATGTCGGTGCTTCGCTAGGATCGGCTTGGGCGCGCTCCATCATTGCGTCGAAGAACTGTTCTCTCGGCAGGGAAAACTCGTTGTATCTGTCGTCGGATTCGTCTTCGTCAAAGTTCTCTCGTTCATCAATGACTTCAATGTTGTAGTATGTCTTGAGCTTCTGCCATATGTAAGGAATGCGCGTGTGCTGGTATAAATCTGGGTCAAAGCCGTGATTCCGCAAGTGTTCCGAGATCGCTATCATTCGAAAGTGCCTGTGCATACCTACATAGCGTTGGTCAGTAACGATAAAATCATATAGAAGCTATTCACTGACCGGCTGGTTTCCACCGAATGACACCCTTGAATAATGAAGCCACCTGATCATCCGTCCAGAGGTCATTGTAGTTGTTGTCTGGTTCCTGTTCCCTTATCTCGCTAGAGGCGTCTTGGTCGCCTGTCTGGGGAGTATCGACATCCATCACATCATCATCTCGCGCCGGAGTTGGTGTCGCAGCGGTTTGCGTGCTAGTCCGCGCACGCTTTCTGGGTGCCATTGTGGATGCGCTGTGTCGAACGGAGGAATTCTAAAGACGTAGTTCGTAGTACTTGATCTCTTTGTAATAATTGATGGTGGTAGGGACAGTATTCCTTGTTCCTGAAGTATTGATGTTGTCGGTCCAAGCAAACAAAATTGAAATGATCCAAGGTTTGGCTGATCATACAATTCGATAGGTATAGCTCGTTGACGTGAAAGAGCCCTGCACGTCTAGGCTGGTAGGCACTAACTATAGACTGGTATGAACTCATATGGGAGGTACCCGCCTAGAAAAGAGCCTGGTTCAGTGCCAGTGTGCTAGGTTTTTTTTTTGACTTGAAACGCGACTAACTTTTTGTTCCGTTGAGCGCGTCACCGAGGGGCAGAACAATAAGCTCGCGTTAATTGACTTTTGTTTACGCGCAATGAGCCATCTCTCGCTCGATATTGAAGTCGAGACATGTCGCCTACCACGACAATATCAAATCTCGAATGCATTTGATTGAGGATAAAGAAAATGGATGAATATCAAAAAGACCCCGCTGCCGTCTTCACTATACCGGACTTCTGGAAATCGTCAAAATGGCTGCATGAGTTGAATGGCAATGCCAATACCAATACACGAGATCCATTCTTTTCCTCTGGATTCAGAGGTATGTTAGACGTAGATGTTTAGTTGGACTTGTGCTAACTTCAAAGTACTCAGATGACATAGATTCGGATCTTGTACAGCTTGGCCAGGTCTCTGTCGAAAAGAGCGGCTTCTTCAAGTTACCCACACAATTTGGGCTTCAGTCTGAGCTGGATCCAAAAACCGATGTCACCACCAGCAATGATGACCCAGTACCTACAGAAAGCGTGCACAGCATAGAGCCCGAGGAGAATATCTGGGCAAATACCGATGTGCTAGTTGAAAACTCACCAGAGCACAAGACGTGGGATGACTTCATTGCAGGCACACCAGCAGGAAGGCAGCCGCTGATGGCCAGCGAAGCCGGAGCAACCGTCTATGATGCTTTTTTGAGTTGGTCCATCGACCCTCTCGAGCTCAAAAGCTCCGAAGTCCCTGTTGTTCAAATTAAAGCCTATCTGTCCTCCTTACTTGCTCTGGCCCTTGGTCAGGAGTCAGTGTTTTTCTCCAAACAGGAGGGAGGTCGCTCCTTCAAATCAACGATCCCCAGTATGAGAGTCACAGGCTATTCCAAGGATGTGCTTCGTGGGTTGGAAAAGCAATGTCACAGATGTGGTTCAATGCTTTTTGAATTGCGCTCCTTTGTCAATTCCACCTATGCGACACGTACTTCCAAGTGTGGTGTTGCTCTAGCTGGTGCCATCGATCAGATTCTCAAAGACGTTCAGCGATATGTAGCTCTCCATGGACAAACGCCCCGGTCTCTTTTGGAGCTTCAGTCGACCGTCAAAGGGCTCCTAGCGATCCTCGCTCCCTTTCAAAGGCTTACTTCCAAGTTTCGCAAAGGTTACTCAGACGAACATGTTCTGTCTTTTGTGTTTCATGAGGCGTACTCCGTCGATTATGGCGAGGAGCAATTACGTGGCATCATGCGTGAAGTTTTGCAGCGAGTCTCCTCCCCTTGGATTGAGTTCTTGGAAGAATGGATCGGAACTAGGCAAGAGGAAGGCATCCCTTTGACGAAAGTCAACGTGGGGGCCAGCAAAGGGTTCATCAAAGTCGACACGGAGAAATACACAGACGATTTTGGACACGAATGCGAAGACATCGACTTTCGATTGGACGACAGTAAGATGCCTCACTTCATGCCCTTTGATATTGCCAAGTCCATTTTCGAGACGGGAAAGAATCTGCGGTTCATTAGGGAGTGTCACCCAGAGCATCCTTTAGCCTCGGCCCATATCATCAATGCTACTCAACCACCAAAAGTCGGATGGCTTTATGATTGGGACGCTATCGAAGATCTTGAGAAGCGGGTCACTAAATACCATGACGACCTCTTACGGGCGATTCGCGACTGCTCATCTCATCAACAAGCATTGATGTCAAAAGGGCCTAAACATACTATTCAACTCCACGATTCGATCGCACTTACGGATGAGAATCATGGGTCAGAAAGTCGGCTTCTGAGCGCTCTCACGGCGCGTATGGATGAACCCTTGCCTGATGTTGTAAGTAAAGAGGACACTTTGAGCCAAATCCTTCGTGAACGACTGATGCAATCTGTCACAAGAAAGTCGAAACCACCTACTAGTGGTTTCGACTTCACGCCCCATCCGTCGCTTCTCCCTGTGCTTTCATTCGGAGGCATTGCTTCAGCTCAATCAGAGATTGTTAACCAGGAGAGTTTACGGCTGCTGTTTAACAATCACGACTTGCGTGGCCACCTGAAGCTGCATCGCGACTTTCAACTTTTCGGTAGCGGCATGTTCATCAGCCGCTTGTCTCACGCTTTATTCGACCCCGACCTGGAAACAGCTGAACGGCAAACGGGGGTCGCACGGCAAGGAGGTGTCATGGGACTTCGTCTGGGTGGTCGAGACACTTGGCCACCAGCGAGCTCGGAGCTGCGGCTTGCTCTTATGGGAGTCCTGGCTGAAAGCTTTGATTCCGATAATGATTTCGCTACGAATAAGTTGGTCAGTATCTCTCGAGATGCATCTGAGTTGCCGGGAGACATGAGTTTTGCTGTACGAGACTTGACGCAGGAAGAGATCGACAAGTGCATGAACCCAGACTCATTGGAGGCACTTGACTTTCTGCGTCTGTCATACAAGGCACCAACTGCGTTGTCAAATATCATTACCCCGGTTATTCTGACACAGTACGATCGAATCTTCAAGCTCTTGTTAAGGATCTTGCGGATGGTTTATGTCGTCAATCAACTGTTTCGGGATGTCAATGCGAGAACTAGTCGTTGGGCTGACCCTGAGGACATTTCATTCCGATTCACACGCGAGGCACATCACTTCGTTTCTGGCATCACTTCCTTTTTCATGGACGCGGGAGTCGCTATCCCGTGGCAAGCATTCGAGGCTAAACTCGACAAAATCGAAGCCGACCTGAAAAACCCCTTGAATATCAATAGCAGTCCTGACAAGGTCGAAAGCCCCGATAGACTGCGCGAGTTTCATTCAAGAGTATTGGACCGCATCATGCTTTCTCTGTTCCTTCGAAAACGTCAACAGCCCGTGCTGAATCTGCTTGAGGAGATCTTCTCTACAGTCTTGGAGTACGCAAAATTCTCCCGGATGAAAGCTATAGAGAAGAACCAAGCCCCGGACTCGGGAGAGACGCAAGAGATGTATCGTCTATATAAAAAGTTCAAAACAAAGGTACAGATTTTTATCACTGTTTGCCGAGCTTTGACAGAAAAAAGTCGATCCACGAGCAACAAGGTATCAGATGATCTGGGATTAAAGCAGGAGGGCATTGGTGAAGACCATATGGTTGCACAGCTGTTGATGAAGTTGGACATGAGCGACTATTACACTAAGCACTAGAATTTCAAGTATAGGGCCAGGTATTTCGATAAAGAGATAAAGATAATTCATACAAAGAGATAATTTATACAAGATGTTCCTTGTGCTGTCATTAAGACCCAGGCCGCCAGGATGCTGACGGTTTGCCTACAGTTGTATGCACCCCACCAAGCCATGGCACAAGGGGACGTGCCCCTCCAACCCCACGCGTCCCCCCATTGGATTCATATGCTCTTCCATTTGGCGATTGTAAACAATCATCATATAGCAACACATTCAACTGGCGTCAAAATGTCCCGACAAAGCGTGGCGGCGCGTAACTTGTCTTTGACAGAAGAACTTGAGAGACTCGAGCAGTCAATCACTCTCACTCTTCAAGGTATACATGCTTGCCTGTTTTTCTTTTCTCCAAGCTTCGCTGACAAGTATTTCAGAAATCGATCATAACTTCAGCAAGTCACATCGCATCGTAACAACAAGCATTCTACCTCTTGTAGAGAAGTATGGTGACCATTCCCGTGCTGTCTGGGAAGCTTCCAAAGTAATCTTGGTTTTTCTCATTGGGAAACATTAAGCTGATACAATACAGTTCTGGAAGCAATTCTTTGAGGCTTCGGCCAACGTATCCCTCTCCGGCTACGAGGAGCTTGCCAACGATGACGAAAGCGAAAGTGTCGAAGAGAGCACAGCTATGAGAGAAGATATATCTGAATATTACACAAATCAGAACAACGACGATGTCACTACTGCTACGGGTGTCGAGCAATCTACTTTTCAAGCAGAGGATTCCATGCTTGATGACGCAGAACTCTCAGGCAGTACACCTCGACCTGGAAAAACCAAGACTCGATTCTCCGATATGGAATCGCCCTACGAAGTTATGAAACGCGAAATGGAGGACGAAGACGACGGCCACGATAACACCACGGTCCTGGATGGCAACGAGGATTCAACGATTCTATTCGCCCAACACACCGCCAGACTCCCTGACATGTCGATGACGCCGCAGGGCCAGCGCGACCACACAATGACCGGCGAGCAATCCGTTCAGCCTCAGAAAGATCCTTTACTACATCGCGTTCTTGAAAAGAACTACCGTATCCAGGCAACACCTCACAAGCCCGCCTTGCGAACCTCGCCGCTCAAGAGCGCTCAACCAAAGAGCGCCAAGAAGAATGTACCAACCTGGAACGATTCACCAGGCTCTTCGCCCGAGATGGCAGTACCAACTCTTCGTAGTGAGGCGTTTATGTCACCTTACAAAAGCAACGCCCGACAACGCCTTGCGGCTGCAACACAGGGTCCTCGTACACCGGGTGTTAGTGTGCAAACACCAGCAACAGCACGCAAGACGCGAGATGTTTTTGCTGCTAAGGATAGTGCCAAGGGCAAAGACAGATATGAGCTCAGTTGGGATAGTGACGAGGATGATGAGGATATTGATTTGTACGCTGGCATGAGCCCGCCCAAGACGATCCAATTTGCCCTCCCTCCCTCGAAGCTCTTGCAAACACCAGGTCAGTTCTGCCATGATCTTGATGGGAAAATGTTCCTATGTACTAACGTTTGCCTATAGCCCGCGAAGCAAGCCAAAGAATTGTTGGCGATATTCTTATAGACGCTGGGGCTGACCCAAACTCGTCTGAATACAGCCCTTCAATGGTAAAGATGAACGAAGATATCCTGGACGATAGCTTCTAGTGCACTCAGCTCTGAGTAAGAAGAGCGAATACCGCTGTTTATTTAACGAGTGTAACTGCTAGCCCCATACATAGCCAAAAGATACCCTTCATTTCCTATTCAATTCAAGTCCATGCCCAAACTCCTTTATTTTAGTCGGCTGTCTGGATCAGTATCGTCCAGAAGTCTTCAGCGTAGCCCGTCTACAAACTGAATCGGATTTGTGACTTGAGGGCCTGCTCCTGGAGCTTTTTGACGTCGATTTCTGTCCCGCCCGTTTGCTTCTTTTCTTGCTTCTTGACAAGTGGTGTAGAAGAGGAAACGGTAGCTATAGAGGCAGTTTCAGGGTCCACAGTCTTGGAGCTGCTGTACTTGGTAGCATCTACCTGGACTACAATAGCTATTAGTAAGGTATTCAAATGCTGAAAAACTTGAAAATCATGCTTACAATTGGAGCTGGTGTTGTCGGGCATATTGATAGGGCTGAATGGGTCTTGAGTGTTGCGAGTGGCTGTGTCTTGGACAAGGTTATAATTAAGATATTAAGCTTAACCCTTGTTTTGTTTTGTTGGTTTGGCTTGTTGGTTTAGAATTGTCAGTTGCGTTTGCCTGCCTGATAATGAAGTCCACAAGGCGTCGTTCTCAGACGTTTTATACATACAGCTTGACGGGTCTTCATCTCTTACAGGAATCATTACCAGCTTCCCTGACGCAAACATGAACCACCAACGAGCGTCTTGCGTATGCCTCAATCATGGTGTGACTCATGACGAAAGCCACTATACCCTTCACTAGGGCTGACGAATAGACAGATTGATCGTCTCAAGTCTTGGACGAGTAGGCGGAATAGCCTACGTATTAGGGCTGACGAGGAGGCAGAATAGAGGTGTGCCGGGATAACACAAACATGCATAACAGTATGCCGGATGCTACCCTTCTCTCCGTTGGGACGCGTTAACATGCGGCACCTAGAGCCGTTTTGAGTAATACGGGGAGTTGTAATGCAGTCTGTATTGGTCAGCCCTAGGTACAGTCTATGGAAGAATAACGTTCTATTGTCTTATGCTGGCATAAGTAATTGGTTGCTCAGACTTTATTATAGAAGTCTATTTAGATGTGAGTTATACACAAGGATTCTGGAATTAATCATGTTGGCGTAGAATGTCACAATCACGTACACTAAAGGCCGAATAAGATTGCACCTGGATTTTATTTCACAACACTCTTGCTGTACTCCTCCAGTTTCCCATGCCATCTGTTGATAATCAGGTAGATCTGCGCATTATGATTACGCTTCATGAGACATCATTTAGCCGCGTAACGATGTTGTTTCCTATAGTCAAGTTAGAGACTAGTGGTACAAGATACATTCAAACTTGTAGGTTGAGTCATACAGGAGAGCAGTCAGGTACCAAAGCATGCGTCACTGTCGAATATGTAGCCACGCGTTTTTGCTGCACGTCAAGACAACCGAAAAAGATCTATGCTCAAAGAGGCAGTTAATTAGACATCTTGGAGCTGAGCATCATGACAAGCCAGCCACATGTGGCGTGCTGTGGCAGTAAGTCCCACCTGCTTTTCACTTTCTTGTGGATCTTATCGATAAGAATCCACTAGTAGCGCGAATGCTTATCGGACAAATTTTCTAAATTTTTGGAAGTCGAGGCGAGACAGGCCGTGCTAGTTTAGTTGACTGTTCTTAGAAGTTGGCGAAGACGCAGCACGCAAACATGGAGGACCAAGTGCACAAGCCGCATCGCAAGTCCAAGGACAAGAAGGAAAAGAAACAGCATACGGGAGGTGGGTTATTGTTGTCTATCCGTCTCACTTGCGACAGGCGCATGCTAATGATCCAACAGAGCGCAATCCAAAAGCCTTTTCCTTTGCCAACCCAGGCAAGCTTCAGAGACAAGCAGCAAGATCGCAAGATGTAGGGTTACCCTCTACCCACTACCACGTCACCCTGTAGTTCTAATCATCGTCAACAGATCAAAGAGAAGCGCCTTCATGTCCCGCTCGTCGACCGATTGCCCGATGAGGCCCCGCCTCGCCTCGTCACCATCGTTGGCCCCCCCGGTGTAGGAAAGACGACGTTAATGAAGTCTCTCATTCGGCGATATGCGAAGGAAACGATATCAGACCCTCAGGGTCCCGTCACGGTCGTTACGTCCAAGAAGCAGCGTCTAACGTTCGTCGAGTGCCCCAATGAGCTTGAGGCCATGGTCGATATCGCAAAGGTTGCCGACATTGTTCTCCTGATGATTGACGGAAACTATGGATTTGAGATGGAGACCATGGAGTTTCTCAACACTCTCGCCGCTACCGGTATGCCCGGCAACGTCTTTGGTATTCTGACCCATCTCGATCTCTTCCGCAAGCCGCAGGCACTCAAGGACGCTAAAAAGAGGCTCAAGAGACGACTTTGGACCGAGTTGTACCAGGGTGCTCATCTTTTCTACCTTTCTGGCGTCATGAACGGCCGATATCCTGACCGCGAGATCCACAACCTATCGCGTTTCCTCTCCGTTATGAAGAACCCTCGCCCTCTCGTGTGGCGCAACTCCCACCCTTACTCTATCATCGATAGCTTCCGAGACATCACACATCCTACCAAGATCGAAGAAGACCCCAACTGCGACCGGTCAATTGTGCTATCTGGTTATCTACGAGGTACAAATTTTGCTTCACAAGACCAACGAGTTCATATTCCTGGTCTAGGAGATTTTACGGTGTCCAATATGGAGGTGATGCCAGATCCTTGCCCAACGCCAAACATGGAAACGGCAATGGCCAAGATCACAGGAAAGACTGGACGAAGGCGACTTGATGAGAAGGAGAAAAAGCTCCATGCGCCTATGTCAGATCGCAGCGGCCTGAAGATCGATGGTGACGCTATCTGGATTACTAGCGACAAGGGTTTCAGCTTCGATAGAGAAGAGGACGAGGCTGACAGAGGTGAGGGAGAAGAGATGATCGTTGGTCTTCAGGCTGAGCGAAAGCTTCTTGGCCAAATGGAAGGTGGTGTACAACTTTTCAAGGGCGGCGAGAAGGTTGAAACAGTCCCTGAAGAGGAGGATACAGGAAGAAAAACGCAGCGAAAGGCTAGGTTCGCACATCAAGAAGAAGGCGACGAGCAAAATTATGAGGATGATGAGGATCTCGCCAGTGGCGAAGACGATGTCGACTCAGATGCTGAAGTCGAATTTAATGAGGGCAAACTGGGCAAGATGTTCCGCAAGGATGCTGACAAGGACCTTGGCGATGACGATCTTGCTTTTGCTGACAGTGATTCCGATCTTGGTTCGTTGTCTGGGGAGGAAGAGGTGGAGGACGATGAGGAATATGATTCCAATGAAGAAGCAGCAGCATTGAGATGGAAGGACAACTTGAACGGCACTGCAATGAAGCTTCACGGCAAGAGACGATCATACCACACAAGCGACCTGGCCAGGTTCATGTACGACGAATCGCTGAGTCCCGAAGATGCGTTGAAGCGATGGAAGGGTGATGATGATGAGTCTGATGAGGAGAATATCGAAGATGATGAGGAGGACGACGATTTCTTCAAAAAGTCCAAGCAAGAGCAGGAAGACACTGTGGAGGATAGATCGATACCCGCCTACGACTACGAGGATCTGGCTGCAAAGTGGGCATCGGAGAAGAATGTCGAAGCTTTACGGCGAAAGTTCACATCAACAGCTCTTGCTGCAGGCGACGACGAGGACGGTGATGAGGAAGGTAGTAATTTCGAGGGCTTAGATGATGACGATGAGGGCGACGGGGAATTTGAGGATCTTGAAGCCGAAGGCCAGGAACAGCCAACGGAACCCGCCCAACCAACGCCCGAAGACATCGAGGCTGAGCGAGAGAAGAACGCCAAGCGAAAGGAAGAGCTTAAGATGAGATTCGAAGAGGAAGATCGTGAAGGTTTCCTGAACGACAAGGCCAACGCCCGACGAGACGGTGGTGATGTCCAGGAGTTTGGCGAGGATCAATGGTATGAGGCGCAAAAGGCCATGATCCAGAAGCAGCTCGACATCAACAAGGAGGAGTTTGAGAACCTTGACGAGCGTCAGCGATCCGTTGTCGAAGGCTGCCGCGCCGGCAAATACGCAAAAATCGTCCTTGAGGGCATTCCCGCCGAGTTCGTCAAGCTCTTCGACGCTCGCCGTCCTATTGTTGTTGGTGGTCTCTCTGCTACTGAAGACCGCTTTGGCTATCTCCAGGTTCGCATCAAGCGTCACCGATGGCACAAACGTATCCTCAAGACAAACGATCCTCTCATCTTCTCTCTTGGCTGGCGTCGTTTCCAGACCATGCCCATTTACAGTACTACCGATTCGCGGACACGTAACCGCATGCTCAAGTACACACCTGAGCACATGCACTGCTTCGCTACCATCTATGGTCCGTTGATTGCGCCAAACACAGGTTTCGTCTGCTTCAATTCCATGTCGGGTTCAATGCCTGGTTTCCGTATTGCTGCTACTGGCACAATCCTGAGCGTCGACGAATCCACCGAGATCGTCAAGAAACTCAAGCTCACTGGTACACCTGCCAAGATCTACAAGAACACCGCCTTCATCAAGGACATGTTTAACACATCTCTCGAGATCGCCAAGTTCGAAGGCGCTTCTATCAAGACGGTTTCTGGTATTCGCGGTCAAATCAAGCGCGCTCTATCCAAACCGGAGGGTCAGTTCCGTGCCACGTTCGAAGACAAGATCCTTCTCAGTGACATCGTCTTCCTGCGAGCATGGTACCCCATCAAGCCTCACCGCTTTTATAACCCTGTCACCAATCTGATCGGCTGGCAACCCATGCGTCTTACAGGCGAAGTCCGTCGCGATCAGAACGTTCCCACTCCCCAGCCCAAGAACAGCCAGTACCGTCAAATCGAGCGTCAGACTCGTCACTTCAACCCTCTTCGAGTTCCTCGCGCCCTTGCTGCTGAGCTTCCTTTCAAGTCTCAGATCGTTGAGACCAAGAAGCAGAAGAAGGAGACATATATGAAGAAGCGCGCTGTCGTCATGGCTCCTGGCTCTGAGGAGAAGAAGGCGCGTGCTCTTATGCAGCAACTACTCACTATTCGCAACGACGCCGCTGCTAAGCGTCGCGCTGCAAAGGACAAGAACCGTGCTGCTTTCCAGAAGAAGCTGGCTGAGAACGAGGAGAAGAAGGAGGCTCGCGAAAAGCGTGAGTCCAAGGACTTTTGGCGCAAGAATGGTCGCAAGCGTGCTGCTGCCGAGGATGGAGGTGGTGGCAAGCGCAGGAAATAAAGAAAAGGGAAACCCGTTCATCTTGGTGACCTGTATGCAACATGGAGGAAGGGTGTTTAGAAAAGTGATAGATGTATACCTTGTTGGGTTGGCGTTTCAAGAATTAAAAAAATTCAATCATTACAAGGCATTAAGTACAAATAATTGTTTGGCATAGCACAATGCTACTTGAAAATCTTCAACTTCAATTTATCTTCCTGATTAGTAACCTAGTGACTTCACATTTTTCATAACCGAATCATAACGATAAAAGTAAAGTTGAGATAGTGCATTGGCTCAAAGGTAGAATGCCAGGGGCACCTCCTTTCAGCAAGCTGCACAGTAACGATCCTAAACACCTATCCTCGAGACACAAACGTACAAAAACAAGCCGCAGATGCTGGAATCCCTCCACCGACGCATTAAGCAAGGGTCTACTTTCAGACCCTCTTCAAGAGACGAGTATCCGTCCAGTCCATCCATATTTTAACCATCGTTCATCAACGTCAATTAGAGTCGTTTGTATTGCGTGTTGAGCAATGCTCCCAAAAACCGATTCGCGCCCTGGTCCAATCTGAAAATCCTTTGCTCCCGATTTAAGGAAAGACGTGCGCCCCAAAATGCCGTAAAACATATTTATTGTTCAGGCAATCTATGCCCCTTTTCAGCTCAAGTACATGTGGCAACTGCACTGCTTCCATCACTTAAGAAGCAAGCATGGGCTCCTTGGCGGGAACAACATCTTCGTGGGGAAGCTCAGGAGCTGCAGTGTCAATAGCAGTGGGCTCGTTAATCTCCTCTCTCAAAGCGGCGGGAGTAGGAATTTGGGGAGGGTTGGCAGACGTAATGGGCTCATCAGTAGGAGGGGAGGGGAACTGAGGCTGCTTGGCAGGGAGAGCAGAGTTGGAGTTCTGAGGCATGTCGATCTTCTGGCGAGAAGGAGTCTTGCCTTGGAGGAGTCCCTGGACCTTGTCGCTGTAGTCGCCGACGTATTGCTTGCTGATGTTGGAAACCTGCTCCATCTGTTTAGAAGCAACACTCTGGATCTGGGCAGTCTGGCTGTTAATGAGCTCGGAAGCGTGGTGAAGTTGCTCGTCGATGAGCTCCTGGTTAGAAGTGTAGATCAAAGGCACAACAAAAGCAACAGTAGTGCCAAGGAGGGAAAGACCCCAGACGGGAACGAGCTTGACAAGGTAGTAGGAGATAAATGCAGCAACGAAAGCCTACTAACTATTAGTGACATGAAGTAGTTTTGCTGCATTTGGAACTTACAGCAGCGGAAGCAGCAACGTTCTCAGCAAAGATGATTCGCTGAGCCTCAATGACGAAAAAGTTGATGAGCTCGTGAACGTCGCCAATAACGGCGTCCAAGGTCTCACGAGGAACTGTGTAGTATCGTCGAGGGCGAACCTGAGTAGCCAGACCATTGTTAAGAATAACCTTGCCAAGAACCTCAGCGAGAATGGTCACGCCAAGGACCATCCAGGATGTCTTAAGACCCCATCGGAGAACATCTAAGTATCGTGCAGCGAAGATGGCAGAAACAATGGTGGCATAAGCGATAGCAGATGCGCCTATTGCGTCATTGACGTTAGCAAAAGCCAATTTCACATAGAATAAAAGGTCGACATACGAGGGTTGTTCCATGACAGGAGCTCCGAAAAGAAGGAGTGATAGTGAGTAAGAGGCTGGCCAGTGGCAGCCGGAGTCGCAGGAGTGCGTCGAGAAGCAGCAAGGTTAGAGAGCTCGGTGGAAGCTTTCTGAGTGTGGCCATAGACATTTTGAGCAACGGGGCCTAGAGGAGAGAAATCCAATGTCAGTAACAGGCCAGATAACGGGAAGAGTTTGGTAGTTTTCCATACCGTTGGCAACCGATTGGTACGCAGCGGCGGCGTCTAGAATCCAAGTCAGTGATATAGTTCTAACCGAAATCACAGCGAGCGGCGTAGCGATGAGCCAAAAGCGCAAGAGAGCACTGCATGATGTGGTTAGCATATCAGTCCGGATTGTGCGGCCAAACGGCCAGCGATTTCGGAAGGCCAAAACTTACCTCACTGGTCTTGGTGGTCTCAAGAAGAGAGTTGCCGTTGGCGGCAAGGGAAGAATCGGCCATTTCGAAGATCTGGCGTAAAGATTTCGTACGTAAAGAAGTGGTGCGCTTGCGAAAGTACCGTCGATGAGTTGCAAAGTTGAAGAACGGATGTGACTCGGGAGAAGGTGTCCTGTAAGGAAGCGAAAAGCGACGTGAGTAAAGGTGGCCAGATAAATTTTTGGGAAGCTGTTTGATGGCAGGCAAGAAAAAAGGCGACAAGGGAACAGCTATTTCTCTCTATCTCACTCCGGTCCCCGTCTCTGGGCCTATGGATACAGCTCAAGTAACTGTACCGTCCTCCTTGCCTGTCACTGTCTGACCAGCCGAAGAACTAAGGTAGGCCTAAGGGGCGGTCCAGTCGAGGGAGCGAGGTGAGTGGTCGTGTGAGAGAAATGGGCATGTCAAGCGAAACAAGTAGCCCCGTCGCAGGCAGAGAGGGACGAGGTCCAGGATAGGCACGGATAGCATGTGAAACGTACCTGAAGAGTGCTATGCTACCTTGTGGGCGAGGTGATATAAGATTAGTAGATGAGAGTGGTATCTCGTCGGAAATGAGAAGATAAAAAAGGCTGAAGAGGGTTTTTGTTAGAAGGTGAAGGTGATGAAGAGAGGGGGGGAGCAGTGAATTAAGTTCAAAGCAGAGGGAGTGAAAAGGAAAGGGAAATGACGTTTGTACAAGAAGGAGGCTTCTCTTTTTGGAGGGGCCAAACAACTGGACGGGACACAGTGACGACAGTGACGCCTGCCACCAAATCAGGAAAAATCTAGACTGACTTACAGTTACAATCCTGACTTCTCCAGCACCTAAATTGGTGCCCCACGTATTGACTATTCGTGCACTGTATTCTGAGCTACTAACCTACCTAGGTACCGAGATTTGATTTGATCTGATTTACTACCTAGTAATAGGTAATAAGCAATTCTTTTCATTTTGTGTGGACCACTACCTACCCAACGACACTCATTGATTGTGCATATATGCTTAGGCTCTTTATTTTCTGAGAGCAGCCAAAACAAAAGCTGCACAATGGAGCTTGGATTCAGTTCATCCATGATGCCCGCCAGTGGAGCTCTCTAGCTCTAGGTCAGGATGACGCAGTGCTACGCAACATCTAGACCTATGAAATACCTCAGCTACACTCTCCACATGGTGGTAGCTGCAGGTACCGCCAAGGTCACCTAAGGCATCTATGTGGTAAAATAAAAAAAGACGTCCCAGTCCAAACCAAGCCCGAGAGCCCCCTCTCAAAAAGAAAGGGTTAATCCCGTCATCAGGGCACTACGAAGACGACATTTCATACGTGCAGCATTGGAAGCCGGAGCTTAGAACCAAGATTATGTGGCAGACGACAGTTTACTGTTTCAAGCACAGCCTATTCTTACCCCGTTAATGGCATGGTCCGCAAAGCTGCATGAAGCCCAATGGGTACTGTAACTAAATGATGCTTGCTTTGACGTGATGATCTGGTCACTTCCAATGCATGTGAAAGTCGCACTAAAAAGGGGGGTTCTTTATCTAGACCAGAAACAACGACCTGACATCCAATGCTGACATGGATGGTCTTCTAACGCTCTAACCTGAAGAGCATAGGCCCTATCTGCTTATCGTAAACCATCAACATATCGTATCAATGATCAAGAATGCCTACCTACCTAGTAACAATCTGTCCACAATAGGGAGGGACAAGCAATACCATGCATTGTACTTTTTACCAATACAGCGTCTTGCAGCATCGATGATTTTCTAGTATGTACATGCTCGGAGTCTAACTCATTGCCTCAACAGCCTATCAAGTTCCCAAACCAAGCACAGCTGATCTGCATCGTCATCTGTACGTACCGGCCTAATTCCCGATTCGATCTCAGCTTCGATCAAACACCAGCAGCAGCCAAGCCTCGAAAATGAAATGAAGGAACAAAGAAGTAAGAATGTAAAATGTATTTTTCCATTACATAGACTTAGATATCTATCGATCCGCGGTTGTGCGGCATTCTCAAAAATCTCCATAGAAGCTGCCGAATTAACAGCACCACCAACTCCCCTGCTAAGTAGACAAACGCCCTAACATATGACGACAATGACAATGCTCGTGGTGACATGTATGAAAACAAGGAAGAAACAACCATGAGGGGCACATCTAGCCCGACACAAAACAGTAAAGTCCCAGTTTCTCTCGCCGTGGCGTCCCAATAAATACGCTCCGCAAGGACGCATGCTTCCCAAATATGTACAAAGAATCAACGACTTCCACATCATGTCGTTTTGTGTAACCTTTTCACGGATATGGCCCACTGGCCGTTCAAAATCACCCCAATATTAAACGCCTTTACCTTCGCCAGCCCCAGAAACTTCCTCCTGATCCCGGGGGCCCAGCATTTGCTGATGCGGGCTTCATTGCAACATCGTTCGCAGCGGGAGCCCCGTGACCAGTGAGTAACCCAAAGACTCCCCCAGGACCGGATTGCGATGCCGACGAACTATGGCCTGATACCGATCGACTCAAACCATGTGATTTACGTATCGACTCCAGCTTCTGCCGAGCTTCCTCAGCTTCTTGTTTGGCTACCGCCTCTGCCGTTTTGGCCTGCACTAACTCAGCAAGTAACGCTTCATGCTCACTCTGAGACGGCGCGGGTCCTGTTGTGGTCACCGTTGGCACGCTTGTTTCGGGACCTCGGGGCAAAGATGACAGTCGCTTATTGAACTTGCTTGTAGCTTCTGGTTCCTGCTCATGATGATGGTGATACTGGTGTTGATGTCGAAAGGGATGAGGCTGCGGGGGTGTGGTCTTGCTGCGATTGAGCTTAAACTCTCGAAGGCCGCCCCCAGTCTTGCTGCTTCTGTCCACCTCGACTTCCTTAGTTGTCTCGTGCGCTGAGCTGGCTGATGATACTCTAGACTTCAAACCGTGTATCTGCTTTTCGAGTCTTTGCTTGTCTTGGTGAAGCGATCTAACATGTGTGTGACTCTCCCGTAATTGTTCCTTCACGCCCGACATCTCGTGGTTGAGATCCAAGATCTGGCGTTTATACTCTTGTGATTGCGAAAGGGCAGCAGCGAGCTGATTCTTGGCGTGGTTTAACTCGTCCTGCAGTTGCGATTTTGAAACAAGCATCGATGATTGACGTTTGTCTTCATCGACCTGGAACCTCTCTTCGACGTTTTTGAGTAAGCTCTCCAGATCTTCGGTAGATTTGGGCACTTCTTTTGGAGATTCGTCCTCGCTCGCGTCAACGGTTGCTTTATGGCTCGGTGTTGTGGATTCGTCTTCCTCGTCATCTGGGCCATCCTCCTTGTCAGGCAATACGGTGACCTGCAGGCTATTCGATCGAGACAACGTCAAGTCTGCCTTTTGTCTTAATCCGTTCAAGAGAGACTGGACCGCTTTCTGATCCTCTTGCCTGTCTTCACGTTCTCGCTGCAACTGATTCGACAATAATGAGTGGTTGCGCTGTAGCTCACTCAGAGCAGTCAAGAGGTCTTCAATCTGACTGTGTAGGTTTCTTTCGTCCGTGTTCTTGTGAATGGCTATTGTCTTGTTACCGACTGGCGTGGAATCGCGTCTGTCTTCGGTGTTGGAGGAGTCTCTAGACATTGTGGTAGCATCTGTCGAAGTTGAACTTGTTACGCTTGCTGAGCTGGCCTCCATTGAATTTAATGTTGATGCGAGGCTCTGCTTTGATGCAGTGCGTCGCAGTATACTTGAGGGTCGTGCGGGTGCGCTAGTACCAGGGCTAAGGTTTGAGGACTTATTGTTGTTTGATGAAGCCCATATGCGACCCAGGAAACGACTAGCTGCGGTAGTGATCTCGGACCCTCTTACAGGGTTGGTAGCAGCTGCTTTGGAGTCGCGATAGCTTTGCTCGAGCTGCTGCATGTTTTCGGCGGTGACAGCACCTGACAGCCCAACAAAGTCTTGTACGAACTCATCTGCGTTGTAATGGTAGCAGTCCCAAAGGCCACGAGATAAAAGAAGCTGCATCACATCTTCCATCTCGGTGCAAGCCAATAGGCGTGCCTCATTCTTCCTCATTAGGGATAGTGCGACTCTCATTAATGTCTCTGAAGCGCCCTCGGCGAATATCACATCGTATATGCGAAACAACATCGGCAAGGGACAAGTTACCGCGAAAAAACTGAGAAACCATTGAGAGACATAGGCAGGGTCGACTTGGAGCTCATCAAGATGATTCGATAAACCCGGGAGGCTTTGGCGTAGCAACTCCTTAAATTGGAAAATGCGTACGTGGAGACCCGAGAGATCAGGGAGGAAGCACGCCCTTAGGTCGTACTGCTCCATGAGGCTGAGATTGTTTGTTAGCTGTTGCCACTGCCACCAAGATTAGGGAGGGAAATTGAAAGAGGCTTACCGAACCAAAACACAGAATGCCTGTTTGTCGGGCATATGCATCAGCAGTGGGCCGACCAGAAAGGCCAGCCCCTGACAATAGCCAATCTTGGTGTCGTAGAGACTGAAGCACTTGAGAACGCGACCAAGCATGCGTTGTCCGTCACCTTCTGGATCGCGGAACATGTCCACCCCTGGGAAACTTCTACCTAAGTCTTTGCCAATTATAACTTCGTAAGGACTGGTCTCGCCGAGGAAGCGATCAAACTGGTCTTCCAACATGGCATCCCGAGCCCCAGACATACTTTGCCAGACCACGCCACGCAGCGGCGGCGGGATACCTTTACGAATCTTATTTGAGAGAAGAGTTGGGAGCCGTGCAGCGGTCTGTTGGTAATCTTTGACGAGGGCAGCGTAGAATTCAAGGTCTGTCATGGGAGGTGGAGGTAACATTGAGTATCGTAAAGCAGGGGGCGTTGGTCCTTGAACCATTTGACGAAGCTGTGCCATCGAGGGTGGACGAGGCCTGCTGACTGCGCTACGTTCAGCAGTGGCGCGGTCAACGCCTTGGACTTTGACGCTTTTCGGGTTCGTAGCCAGTTTTGCGTTCTCCTGTTCAAGTCGGGCCAATAACAGCGCCGTGGACTACGCATGTTAGTTGGTTTTTTTAAT